CGCTTGCTCTGCAGCCACTTCCCCAGCTTCTCCTTGAGAACGTTGCGCCCAACTCCCTGCGTCCTCTGGCATCTTCGCCCACTCTCCCAGCGACATGAACTCCAGGCTCCCCGGAGAGTAGAACGTGTCGTGGAGGTTGCCAACGGCCTTGTCCAGGACCAGCTTGATCGGCTCGCTCGTCCCCGCCTCGTTCAAAGAAGCTGCATCTTCGATGACTGCTGACAGCTCGCTGACGAGCTGCATGTCCTCTTGGCTTGACGGAGATGCTGCCTCCATTGTGATCCTCTCCAGGTCTGTAAACTCCAGCCACTCTCCCTCGCTCTCCTCCTGTCGCTGCGCTGCGTCGCTGGTGCCCCGCTGACCAGCCGCCTCAGAGTCAGGCTCCTTGTCGAAGCCGACTGCTTCGAGCTTGGTTGCTGCGCCTTCGAGATAGAAGGGCAGCTCCTTCATCATGCGTCGAGCATCCTCCGTGGAGCCGAGGAGGATGCATAGCTTGGACCCGTTCCAGGACTTGGTGTTCAAATCCTCCTCCATGTCGATGCCTTCAACGTTGATCTCGAGCCTGTTAGCGATCTCCAACAAGACTCTCTTGACTCTTGCGATAGACGTGTTGCCGCCGTTGCACAGCCCCTCCATCTCCTTCCTCGTGAAGCGACCAGATGCCGCCGTCGACTTGATGATGATCTTGATCTCCTTGCCGTCCTTGCCGCCTGCCTTCTTCTGCAGTCTTGATGCCTTCTTCAACTTATTTCTGGACACAAAGCGATCCGCTGTCAACTCGACTGCGAGCGCCTCTCTGATCTTCGGGTCCTCGCTGAACAGAGTCAGGTGTACTCCCTCCATCGCTTCGCTCTCTCGGAAAGCTCGAAATGCTGTATCATTCGCCTCTGGGCAGCTCGAGGAGACGATCCACTCCACCTCCCTCTGTCTCCAGATGACGTTGGCCCCTACAGCGATGAAGCCTTTCTGACCTAAGCCTTTGTGGACTTGCTGGCCTGGCGCCCCAGCGACCAGCATGCCTGCCAGCGGCTGGAGCTGTACCGCTGCCAGGGACTGGCGCAGCAGCTGATAGCGATAGACGGCAGCTATCTCAGCCGTTGTCATGCCGCCCAAGGTTAGCAGGTGAGTCAGCTCTGCCAAGCTGCCCCCTTTGCCCCAGGGTCCTCTCTTGGCTCGAATCTTGAAAGATCGATCGTGCACGATGCTCACATGTACAGCTGTGAACTTGCGACCATCGATCGCGAAGTCCTCTCTTCCCTGCCAGAGCTTCTCCGCTTGTGCATTGCGGAGGAAGGAAACAGTCACCGGGATCTCCTCAGCACTCGCTATCTCGGGTCTATACGGAGCCTTCCACATGATTGCTTTACTCTCTTGCACTGAGTCTACGATCAGTCCGATCTCTTCAAATTTCTTCTTCAGCTTTTCTTCATGGTTGACATACACCGAGGAGATGCCCAGGAGAGTCATGGAGATGAAGGAAGTCACCTCGTTGCCTGCTGAGGCGGTGTATGTCTCGACCTGCTCTTTCTTGGCTTCTTCAATCTGCTGCATAAACCACTCTCTGGATGCGTCACTCCATCCAGCCATCGCTTCTTGCAGAAGCTCACGTCGTGCCTGCTGACATGTCGAGCGGATGGCTTCTGCGATAGCGTCGGGGGTGCATCCCTCCACAGCCTTGCAAGCCTGGGCTGTCCTGCTGTTCGGATAACGCTTCGCGAAGCTCTTCACCCTCTCGACGAGATCAGCTTCGAGGACAGAGGCATCCACAAGTCCGCTCTGCGTGTATTGGCATGATCTCCGATACAGCAGGTTGCGAACATTTTCATCATACTGAAGAACCATACTTAGAAAGCTATTTGAAGTATACAAACCTCTCGCTTGCAGCTTCCTTGGCGCCCTGGCAGCTTCCCCTACACCACGCGTGCAGCCATGGTGCCTGAAATAACCGGCGCTAAACCCTAAACCCTAAACCCTAAAGGCATGATCTTCGATACAGCAGGTTGCGAACATTTTCATCATACTGAAGAACCATACTTAGAAAGCTATTTGAAGTATACAAACCTCTCGCTTGCAGCTTCCTTGGCGCCCTGGCGGCTTCCCCTACACCTGGCAAGGAGCCATGCTGCCGAAAATAACGGCGCCTTAAACCCTAAACCCTAAGACTGCTGCTAAACCTTAAACCCTACACCCTACACCCTAAACCCTAAACCGCTGGGTCGGGAAGGGGCCCGCTGGGTCGGGAAGGGGCCCGTTCCTAAACCCTAAACCCTAAACCCAACAGGTGTTGAACCCAACAGGGGGTTTAGGGTTTAGGTCCAACCCTAAAGGTCAAACCCTAAACCGTCGGTGATGATACCTTTGAAAAAGCCTTCAGATCAAAATTGGAAATTTTACCAAACATTTCACTGTTGTAATCAAACTTGGTTCCCCAGACAAGTTCCCCGCCATGCAGCCCGTATGCCAATGCCGGACAGTGACGACAAGGAAGAAGAGAAATTGAAGATGGAAAGGAAAATGAATGACTGATGGGTAGAGAGAACTAATAAGGCATGAGATTGGATGGTCAACTTAACGGAAGGAAGACGAAGAAGTAGAAGAAGATAAGGTTTAGAATGGGTCTAGCTTCGCTGCTGCATGTAGCTAAGATCCTACACACATGAATAGTGAGGATGATGGGCTGAAGCAGGTCAAATGCATTTTAAGATGGAGAAAGACATTTTATCGTCATGTAAAAGTTCATAGCATTGAACGACAAAGCGCTTCTTGTCTGACCTTGAAGTTCAGAATCGATTGCGGCATGACGGAAGTAGCAGCGAGCCCAATGATAGCTCGAGGATCAGCCAGTGAGCATGCATCCATACCAGGCTACATGACTCCCTCGGGAAAGAGCCGGCTTCCTATGACAGGAGGATCCGGTCTTATGGGAAATGCCGTTCTCGGACACATTCCAGTTGCACCTGGCTGGACCGTATCGAGGCCTTACTTGACTCTCTCTCATCTATTTGAGTCCAAAAGCACCGAACCTGAGGAAGGCAAGCAGAAAATAGGAAGTTTTCCGACATCCATGCAGGAGCTCATGGTGAACGCCTTGTGCTAGCTGGTTTATCAGACAGTCACTTGTTTCGCCCAGATCATAGAAGATCTCTTATCAGTGATGATAGGCATCGATGGGAAGTATCTCAAGATCAAGGTAGCTGAATAATTTTTCAATAGGTTCTTGTGACTGCACAAGAATTTGCTTCATCTTTCTCAAAAGTTTCAGTTTACATAGAAAAAAATCTGTTGCTGCTGCCAGCTTGTTTTCGTGTTAATATGGAAGTCTTCTAACTGACATCTCAACTAATAAGGTGACTGCTTCGGGGCCGGGCTTGACTGTCAAACACGATTCATCTTTGGATTTGTCACTCTCAGATATGGTGGATCGGATGGTATCACTGTGCCAGTATTACGTTCGAGTTGTTCGTTTCACAGAATTACGTCAACATTATGAATTTGGTGAGAATTCCTTCGAGTTTGTATCATGGAACTGATCAACTCTTGGCAGGACTTGTCAATCACGCTCTCTGTGCTGCCCTTCAAGAACTCCTCAAAGAGTATCTCATCCTCGTGGCGCAATTAGAGTATCAATTCGCTGCTTCAAAATTGAATCTTCAGGAATTCTCGTTCTTGATTGAGAAGAATACGATTATAACTGGTCTTGTGCAGAAATTTTGGTATTATGTTCAGCCCGCCATGCACACTCTTCGTGCTTTGTATGAACTGGTCGAAGCCGTAGAGAGTTCAAGTGAATTTGTGACTTGAAAGTTGAAGTGGTACCGAATATTTGTCCAGGCAAGAATGGAAAGTCTGCTTCAAGAGGAGGAGCACTTTTGAATGTGTTGCATGCATATGCCAACGCAGCGAGTGGAGAACAGTACGCTTCCAAGGTGCTATCTGTTGTCTTTACTCGAAATACTTACTCCTATTCTGTCTCAAAGCTTTACAGTTTCTTGCTTCAGAAGAGTTCTGTACCATACCTTGAGATGCTTGAGAAATGGATCTATCAGGTTCATTACTGCAGTAATTCAACAAAGTTTCAGCTCCTTCTTTCTTTAGGGGGTGGTGCAAGACCCATACAGCGAATTCATGGTGGAGGAAAGACCGAACAGGTGAAAGTAACAAAGACAAGATGCCAAGTCTTGACGCATTGTGTCAGGCCATACTACGATGATTCTTACTGGGAAAAGCGATTCTTGAAACGCGAACAACATATTCTTTCCTTCCTGTCTGATAAAGAGGTCTCGCAGCTATCTTGCACATACAATGTGATGAATCAAACTTTTTCTTAGGTTGTACACAAAATCATGACAACCGGAAAGTATGAAAAGCATTTGTATTTAAGATCGACTTTAATTGTTTCCATCAATTTTTTATTTTGATCATAGATAGTCTAGATATTTCCCATTCCATTATCATTACTGAGAACTGAGTCAGGTACCTTACTGTACTACGGGAATGTGGTCAAACGGTCTGTTTCCCGACTACTGTCAAGCTCACCTACAGCGCAAACAGCAGAATTTATGTCACTCTAATCGACCAGGTGAAATTGGCAAATCTGTGCCATGTTGCATGATGCAGTTAGCAAGGCCTACACGATTTCATCTCAAAGAGTCCTCGCTCTCCTCACCGAGCAAAAGAATCTGATGACTCGTCTTGAGAGCGTAAGTTGTTGCTCACATTGACGCATTTCTCACCAGCTGCGTCCGACTTGCAAATAACACAGGCATGCAGGTCAAACACTACTTCTTGCTGGATCTTGGGGATTGGTTCGTGCATTTCATGGATACAGCATATGTTGGTTCTGCGATATGAATCCATAGGACTAACGTATCATGTGCAGGAGGAGCTTTCCAAAGATGTGCAGCATATCAACAAGAACAAGTTGGATTCGATGCTTTCTTTGTCTTTGGTCACATCCACAGCCAATACGGATGATTACAAAGACGACCTCGCCTGCCAAATGATGAATTGCTCTGCTTTGGACGAGGTAGAGAATCAGAGTCAATCAAGCCGATTCAATGACTCGAGGAGTGCAGGTGTTGAATGTGATCAGCATTGACGGGACAGACAAAGGGATCAAGAGTAAAGCTCTCGAACAAACTTCAATCTTAACAGGCCTGGAGACTTTTGCGCTCTCCTACAAGGTCTGCAACCATCTCGCTTACACTTCTCAATGGAAGAGGCAGGTGGAGTGGCCGTTGAATATAGTCTTCTCGCGCAAGACTCTGACCAAATACCGTTGGCTCTTCCGCCATCTCTTCTTGTACAAGGTAATTGTTTCGTCGCTCCTTATTCCACCACCATCAACTTGACCGCAGACTGCGGAGCGAGAGCTCAATGCTGCATGGGTTTGCCATCAAGGGACGAAAGGCTTTCAAGTGCATCATGCGTTTGCATTGGACTTCTCATTGAGGTGTTCTTGAGATTCGCTTGTCTTAATCTTCTCATCTTTCAATACAGATTTCGGATGCTCCACTTCATACAAAGTCTACAGTGAGTTACGTGGGAAATGTGATCTCGCCTGAGGTTCGTATAATTCTTCTAGGCATTTCTTGGTGAATGACGTGGTGGAGAATTGCTGGCACTCATTCAAGGTTTGCTGAGAGACAATCAAGTGTTCAATGATGACGACGAGCAGGAGAACATGCGACAAGTTAAGACCGTGGAAGACGTCCTGCGCATTCACGACCGCTTTCTTGACACCTGCATCAAGCTTTTTGTCCTTAACGACCCGCATCTCCTCAAGCTCTTGACGCGATCTGTTGCAACATGCACGAAGTTCGCAAGATACATCAAGGCCTGTTGCCCTCCCACCTTTGCTTGTGCTGACGCCTAGAGCAGACGAAGACATCTCTCTTCTCCTTGAGAGAGGGAGGATCGATGGATGGAAGCACAAGCGGTGATCGTGATGACAGCGAGGAGTACAAGGGTGTCTCTTCCCTGGTCAAGCAGCGTCACACTCGCCAGCAATATTTCGCTTTAGCCTCTACTTTGGCTTCGGAGCCCAAGGTGCTGGCTCCAAAGTCTTGTGCTTGCTCAATGGCTCTCAAAGCTTGTTATTGCTCCACCTTGTCGTTTCCCCTTGTCCCTCCCTTGTTTCTCTTCATCATGCCATCTCCTTGATATGCTGCTTCTTGGTCGTTCTGCTAGCTGACGTGACTCTCAGCACCGAGAGACGGTCGAAAAGTACCAAGAAGAGTTCGACGAGAAGGTTACGATGCTGCTCGAGAGCTTGCGGACGTATTGCCGGGGAGGAGGAGACCCCCACCTCCTCAACCTCTGCTCGCAGCTGGACTACAACAAGTTCTACTCTGATCGCGCTTGAAAGCGTGCATGATATTCTGTACAATCAACATAAATTTACAGCACTGGACAGTGGCTCAGGCACAAGAAGATTCAGCTGATGAGGCTACGAGACCTTCTCGGGCCTCTGCTGGACTGCAACGCAAGTTTGACGGCCATTCTTAACGGTCACCTGCCACTTCCATCAAAAATGCCCGCCCTCCTACTTCCTTTCCCCCCTCCCTTCCGCTATCCCCCCACAGCTCCTTCGCTATCTTGTTCACTCTTTCCCCTTACTGATCCTCACACGTGATATCCTGATACTCACCGAGTGGAGGAAGCGGTAGACCTCAAGCACGTCTCGTTGGAGCGCATCGCTCCCCCCAACTTCCTGCTCCAGCAGTCGCCCGAGTTTTTGCATTGCCAAGTCCGCGAAGTGATCCTGCATGATTCTCATTTGCATCTCCTGTCTGATCTCATTCACTTCCATCAGTTGCTCGGATTCTCCATGTAAACGACAAAATGACGAGCAATCGAGTCGTTTCCTCGCATCCTCCCACTTATTATCGTCAATCCGTTGAATCCAATGGAGCAGAGGCAGTTCGTCTGCACCCCCCCATGGAAGATCTTGAGGCAGGAGACTGCTTTCAATCCTCGTCTCTTTTTCCGTCTCATTCAGCGCCTCCTTCACGTCTTCTACATGCTTTCTCAAAGTCTCTTTCCCTTCTCCCCTTGCAAAACGGCAACTCTCCATCCCACGTATTTCCCTCACGACCGCCTCATGCAAGGCCACGAGTCTTTCCGCCTCCTCGGCTGATACATTCTGTCCTTCAGTTAGGATCCAGCGACAAGGGTCTCTTGCTCACCTCAACCAGCGAGGGATCGCCTCTCAGCTTTGACAAGCTGCTCTCCTCCAGCAGGTGGACCAGCTCTCTACACGTCAACTCCATGCTCTCTTCCGACAGCCATGCGCCCCCGCACCTGGCAAACATTCCACCCGCCACCGCGTCTCCCTGAGACATTGTCAACACACTTCCTACTACACACGTAGTCAGAGTCACCTGCTCCAAGCTTCTGACGTACTGATTCCATGCCTCCTCCTCCCCTCCATCTTCCGCCTTTTCAGTCTTCTTTTGGCTGCTCAGGGGACGTAGTCGGTCTTCTCTTTGCATTGGAAGCCTGAGCTCAGGCGCAGCTGGGGTTGGCTGCTTGACGTTGGGATTTCCCGATCTGCTCACCGCACTCCCGTCCATTTGGTCAGCTGAGTGAGTGACGACGACGAGCTTCTGCTTTTGAGGAGGGCCTTCTCCTCGAGCCTCCCCTCGATCTGATTCCTCCTTTGTTCTGCTCTGCACCATCTGTCTTCCTTCATGCTTCCTATCAGAGCCGTCCCGTTTTCTTGCCAGGCCCTCTTGTCCTCTGCCATAAGACGTTTTGGGGGAATCCCCTACTCCGGCTCCTGTAGCCTTGCCTGACTTGGCCGGAGACACCTGACGAAATTGCTTGACTCCTTTCCTTGATTGCGAGGATTCATGCTCAGCGTTGAAAACTTCGAGCTCCTTTGCTTGATGCAAAAGAGCTTCCAAGGTGGAGTCGAATGGCAAACCTGATTGAATCGATTCCTCCTTTTTGTGCTGATTTTTCACCATCTCCTCGCTATTTGACTTTGAGCCTTGTAGTTTGCTCGTTGGGGTTGCGCTCGCGCCCGTGGACCTGCTATCTTCGCATCAGCGATAGACTATCGTTCCTTCCTTACCTTTCCAATGCCCTTGTATCATCTTTCTGCGTGCGGATCATTCGCGCTTCTTGCAATTTCTTATCCAACATGCTCTGCAGACTAATGAGTTTCGATTGAATCTTGGTTTGTAGTTACCCAAGCAACATGGTCACATAAATCTGTATCATTATGATGAGCAACATCTCCATCCTCTTGTTTACTATCTGTATCCTCCTTGTTTTCTTTATCCTTGTCTCCTTGTAGCCTTGGTCTCGTCGTTACAGCCTGCTTAATTACTACTTTCATCTTCTTCTCTTTCCCGCCTCCAGAATAGACAGACTGAGCAAGCTTTGCTGAAGGAAGAGCCCGCGGGGGGGAAGGGAAACTGGCAGCCCGCCTCGAACTCTCCTCCTGTTCGTCCTCTTCTTGCCGCTGCTCCAACATGAAGGTTGCATGCTCAACGAACCTCAACCTTTGGACCACATGCTTGCGAAGCGCAGAGACCTGCATGCCTATCAGTTCGAGTCCTCTATTGCCCTGCCCTGCCCTGCCCTGCCCTGCCCTGCCCTGCCCTGCCCTGCCCTGCCCTGCCCTGCCCTGCGCTCTCCTTTGCTCTGCTCCTCCTCTCACACTTGTACCTCTTCCTCCCACGAAGTGATCGCCGCAGTCGCGTTTTCCTGCATTTCGTACTGGGCAGGGAAAAGAACGGGAGGCGGGCTTGCGGAAGTGAGTGAAGGAGGAATGCGGGGAGGAGGTGGAGGCCAGCAGGATGACAGACAGGCAGGTACATAGTGAGGTAGACAGACAGACAGACAGACAGACAGACAGACAGACAGACAGACAGACAGCCAGACAGACAGACAGACAGACAGAAAGACAGACAGACAGACAGACAGACAGACAGACAGACAGACAGACAGACAGACAGACAGACAGACAGACAGACAGACAGACAGACAGACAGACAGACAGACAGACAGACAGACAGACAGACAGACAGACAGACAGACAGACAGACAGACAGACAGACAGACAGACAGACAGACAGACAGACAGACAGACAGACAGACAGACAGACAGACAGACAGACAGGTACATAGACACATAGACACATAGACACATAGACAGGTATAGACAAAGACAGATAGACAGACACTGAAAGAGGTATTGAGGGATAGCACAGCAATGTCAGGATATGTTTTTCCTCGTCTTTCTTGAGTGCGCTTCTCCTCTTGCTCTATCTCACCTCCCTTCTTCTCTCCCCAAACTCACAGATTCTCTTAGCGTTATGTGCTTTCCTCTTATGTGCTTTCATTGGTAGTCACCGGGTTTCTTCCACCACCGGTATGTCGCTCAATGATGAGTTCATTGACGACACTCGCAAAGTATTCTTCTTCGCGTGCGTTCCGGCATGACGGATGTTTGACGACAGAAGAAACAGAAACTGAGGGAGGAACAGGCAAGTTTGGCTCGAACTCTCCTCGAAAATGCAATTCCAAGGCCTCAGGGCCAGGAGACGATCGTCAACGCCTTCGGGCAGGAGGAGGTGAAGCACGCTATAGGCATATGCAAGTGAGTGGTGGATGATTAGGTGGGGGTACCGCGATGGCAGCAGAAGCAAGCAGCAATTAGAGACATGTACGCGAGCAACAAGAGCTCCGCCGACATGTCGCACGAGCAGCGGGTCCTGTGAGTCAAGAGAGCGCCGTGATGATGCCTGAAGTTTCTCGCAGGCAGATCATGGAAGCAAGGAAACGAGCGCGAGCTGCGAACGCTGAGGACGAGCGCAGGACGGCATCGGCAGCGCTTTATGGTTCTTGCTCTCTCCTTGTTCCTCTTGCTGATTCAAGCAGAGGAGGAGAACATGAGGGATCCCAGCAAGTTCGAGAGGGTAGAGGTAACCCGGCTTGCCTCCCTTCTCCTTCCCTGATGAGCTGCAGACCTTCTCGTCTTCGAGCTCAAGCTCAGGATCTGAGGGCGAGTCAGAGAAGTGACAGCGACGCGCTTGTGTACAGGAGATTGACGGGCGTGTTTGACGTAGAAAGAAGAGGAAAAAACACAAGAAGTCAAAGAAGAAAGATAAGAAGAAAAAGAAGGTCCCCAGATCAACGCATCTCCTGAATCTTTTTTCTTTAAACTGTGGATGGCACAATGGAGTGAATCTGATTCTTGTCTTTGAGGTAGGAAACAAAATCCAAGAAATCCAAGAAATCCAAATGATGGGGAGATCTTTCAAAAAATTTGGGAATAAGACGAGCCTGTCTCACTTGCTTGTTTCGATTCAGATTTGTGAAGATTTCCGTGGGGCGTCCAGAATTTTACTGATTGGATATGGGGGTGAAGGCAACACAAACATGTTGAAATGCGAGGATTTATACTTCAATCAATCAAGTTCACAAGTCATGAATATATCATCATTTGAATGTTGATAGTAGATTGTAATCACAGTATACCTCACTGATTTACAATGCTACTTCTCTTTATTGCAGTCAGCCTTTTTGTACATCTCAAAAAAATGGGAGTAATCGGTAGGTGGGTGACGGAAATGATAGTCGTCTACGTGGACTAGAGGAGAGGAGAGTAGAGGAAAGGAGACGAAAGGAGAAGAGACGAGACGAGAGGAAAGGAGAGGAGAGTAGAGGAAACGAGACGAGACGAGACGAGACGAGACGAGACGAGACGAGACGAGACGAGAAGAAAAGAAAGGAGAGTAGAGAAAAGGAGACGAAAGGAGACGAAAGGAAAGGAAAGGAAAGGAGAGGCGAGGAGGCTAAGTGGCATAGAATACGGGTCAGAAAAATTCAAGCGAAGGAGCGGGGGACAGAGACGAGGAGAGGGAGAGGGGAGGAGGGGAGAGAGGGTTTCTGTTTTTATTCGCTCAAGTGGAAGAGCAAACGGTAGCTGGCTAGGCACGCAAGAGAGGGAGCTAGGCACGCAAGAGAGGGAGCTAGGCACGCAAGAGAGGGAGCTAGGCACGCAAGAGAGGGAGCTAGGCATGCAAGAGAGGGAGCTAGGCATGCAAGAGAGGGAAGAGGGAGGAGGGAGGAGAGAGTTGTTCCTGCCATGGTTGTCGCTTCTTTTTTTCTTCAAACATTTTTGTTGCGTTGGACTCTGAGGCGAACTGCGGGGCACGATGGACGAGGGAGGAGGGAGTCGGTGAGGAGGAAGGGAGAGTAGGGGAGGGAGGGGCTGTCATGAAAACCCTAGGAATGTCACTGTTGATGGTGGTGATATGCTACCTCGGGGACGATGGAGCAGTGGTAGGTACAGGGACAGTGGCGGGAGTGAGAGGATTCAGAGGAGGTGCGAAACCGTTGATACTCCTTGGTCTGCGGGGAGGGTCCGAAGACGTCCAGGTACTGTTTTGAGCACTGAATTGCTTGTGTTGTCAAGACTTAGATGGTTGCAGATGAACACGATGAGTGAGGGAGAGAGAAGCAAGGAGCCGCTCGACAGCGACGATGACGAGCTGATCTCTGAGAATCAAGCTGCTGACCGATTGTGATGTCTCCCCTCCCCCAGCGAAACTCTCTCTTTCTCCATCCCTCCCTCCCTTCCATCGTGAAATCGCCAAACCTGCCCCTCTACCATGCCAAACCTTCCTAGTATCCTTTTGCCGTGACTGACGAGTCTTGTAGCATGATCGACCTTCTTGGCATCAGTCAGGAGGAAGCTAAGCGCGTTATTCAACCCATGAAGATGAACGGAAGCGAGGTTGAGTGCAACCCGGAGGCAGCGTGGGAAAAGGTGGGAAAAGCTGAAGTCCTCTCGAGCTTCTCTTCTGACATTGAGCTACAGCTACGCGATGACGCTAACATGACCAAGGAGGAGAGAGACTTTTGGAGGATGGAGCGCTACGCTAAGCGATGGCCTCCGCCTTGGTTGGAGGATATGGAAGATCAGCAGAATGCCGTTGTGTTCTTGGACGTGGCGATCCGATCGCTTGACAGGCAGCAACGAATGTACGCCTGTCGAGAAATCTCACTGGCAACCACAGACAGTCGACGATCGAGCACGAAGGTCGAATAACCATTGAGCTCTTCTCACACATTGTTCCGCGGACTGCTGAAAACTTTCGATGTTTCTGCACTGGCGAGGTGAAAACAAGCTTAACCTTGTCTTAACACCCCTCTGAACCCCTGTGAGGTCAAAGACCCACGGAACCACAAGCCGGTAGGATACAAGAACACGCTGATCCACCGCATCGTCAAGGGGTCTTCTGCTTCATCTCTTACTCCACTGACTGATCTACAAATGCAGTGTGCTAATTCAGGGTGGAGACTTTGTGAAGTACGATGGGACGGGATGCTATAGGTATGTGCTCTGTTTGTTCTTGACCTCGCCCCTGGCCTGTTTTCTTCGCGTTCTCACATGCTCTTTCACAGCATTTTTGGTGGCATGCGGTTTCTAGATGAGAATCTCTCGACCAAACATTTCAGGGGGGCGGTTTCCATGGCTAATGCTGGTGATAGCCTGCTTTGTGACTAGCGTGGCTAATATGAACAGGTGAGCCTGATTCCAACGGCTGTCAGTTCTTCATAGTTGCCTGCAACAACACTGAGTGGCTCGATGGCAAATTTGTTGTGTTCGGCAAAGTTGATTGCAGCTTGTCATCTGCTTCTTGTCAAGAATCTTCTGCAGGTTTTGGATGGGATGAATACCGTAGACAAGATTACGGAGGTTGTACAAGATTTTCTTGGACTGGTCAAACACGACTGATGGTGAATAGGTTCCAACAGTAGGGGAGGACTACAAGCCGTTGCGCAAGGTTAGAGGACATCCTTGATATCTGAGTGATGAAATGACAGGTCATCGTGGAAGAGTGCGGCCAGCTGATGGGTAGTGAAACAAACAATGTGTTCCGCGCCCTTCAAGAAATGATCAACATGAAAAGTAAAACTCTGTGAGAATTACTTGGATCAGGAAGTCCATTCTTGCTTCTGGGCAAATTGAGAATTGATTTATCGACTTATTCATCAATAAAACTTAGCTTGCTGGTCTTGACAATCTTTTTGGATCGAGATTTCTTGTTTTCTTGTTCGGACCCAGCATGCATATCGGACTGCCTGATTTCACACATCGTCTTTGCTTTCTTAGACTCTAGACGAGCTTGTCTCTCTAAAGTTTCTTGCTCCTTTCTCGCTTGGTCTTGTTGCAACTCTTCTTCAGAGATTCTCTTTTGGGAGCGGAGAAGCTCGAATGTTGCTGCAGCTGCCTCCCCATTTTTCCGCGGATCTTCTTCTTCGGTCCAATCAACTTCATAGCAGAGGTACCGCTCTGGATTTTTGATATGGTCCGGCACTTCATGCTTGAATCTGCAGTGCAACCCACGACTGCATTTCCCTGTCTGTGAAAATTGAAAACAAGTCTTGTTCGTTGCCTGGGAAGTTCTTGAGGGAATGTGCGAAGTCGCTGGGGCCTCCATGGATTTGCTCAGCTTCTTGTCTTTGGGAGGATCACTTGGTTGACTACGAACCCCTTCCCGACCGCCTTCCAGACCTTCCTCCAGAATTCCCCTGAAGCGTTGGCTCTCCCTTAGCAGCGTAGACTCAGATCCACAAGAACCTATGAAGATGACGTCATCGTCAACCTCTTCTCTCGTGCTTGTCTTGTCCTGGTGTTTGCTCTGTGTACAAATGCGATCGTATGGATTGTCATCAAGCACCTCAATGTCTTTGTCCAAATCCCTGGGAATGCAGCTCAGTAGCAACAAGGACATGCCCGGGCAATACCGATAGGACGTTTCCTCTGTTGTTGAGAAGACTGAGGTTGGTCGCCTAGGGTTCCAAGTTTCAGGGTTCTCTCTGGAATCTTCAGTGACGTTTGTCAGTTCGTTTGATTCAGACTTGACCACCCAAGCTCCTGTTGTCCTGTCTTGTGTTCCCTCCGGCCCCTTCGCGTCAATCTTGCTGAACAAGCTGCTGGCCCTGTTGCTGAACTCAAGAAGTGCTTGACCCGCAGGATTGTTTACGTCTTGATATAATTGAACTCTTTCAGAGTCCCGTGCTGACATGTTCGCTCTGCTATTTCGTTTTACCCTTGCTTCGAACGAACCCGCCTCTCCCATCCATCCATTTGTGTTTTGCATGATAAGTGGCAAAGTCTCTGTAAATTAAAGCAAATTAGAAACTAATGGTGAAGATGTCAATTCTAGATATCTCCACATCTCTCGACAAAAAAAGAATGAAATCGTTTTCTGTATACTTTTCCCCTTTGTTGACTCGCTCATAAAACTTCAAAAACTATGGAATGATGGAGTATTCACAATAGTCCAATGTTTGTAGAATATGCAGCAACTGCTTTAGGAAAGGAAACCTTTACAGCATCTCAGCTTTCTCAAGCTTCAACCCCACCTCCCCCTCTTATTTTCCTGCATGTTCTCTCCAGTTTGCAGGGTTGACGGCAAGAATCCCGTTGAGCCGTTACTTTTTAGTTGCAGTAGTTACAGTGCGGTCCTTTTGCGCTAAAAATAACGGTCGGTTACTACCGCCCTTCAACATTACAAGTAGATTTAAATTACATCGATGATTTTAGTTCGAACCTGATTATGGCGCGCGGTGAAGGGGCTGCTGGTCGTCAGACGGCTCCTACTAGTGACTCCGAGTCCGTCCTCCTCTGAGAGTCTCTCGCTCCTGCCTATCGCAGACCCTTCCTCCGTCTCTCACCCCGAACGACTTACAGCTGGTGGAGGGCTTGTTCGGCAGCAGCTTGATACCGAACTGCCGGGCCGGGCAAGAGGCTGGATCCGTGAATCGCACTGAAAGCCTCCAGCATGGACTCGCTGGCAAGAAATGCATCTTCGCCGAAGTCTGCTCTTGCTGATACTGACGCGAGTGGCGTCGACGAAGCGGTCAGGGCGTTCAGAGATGGACCAGCTTCAAGAGTGACGGAGGCAGAGCTTGCGAGCAAGAGGATGGAGCTGCAAATGCTACGCCAACAATTTCGAGGAAACGTTGCTTACAAACTGTCAGGGGCACTCACAGGAGATAAAGCTTCTCAGCATAATATTCATCCTCCGCCAAGATCTTTCTCTAACATGTTTTCGTGGAAGGCAGCAGCAAAAGAGGGGATGAAATCTGCAAGGAACGAAGCGAGAGACAATGTTGAAATGAACTCAGCGCCGAAGTCAAGCTTACGATTCAGTCTGGAGGCAGAAACAGGGGTGCAAGAGTCACAAAAGAAGAATTATGCGAAGCATTCCACCTCAGGTTTAAGACGATCGAGAAGCTCGATTTGTTTCTGATTTGTGAAATTTCTTAGATTATCAAAATCTGATTGCAACGAATCTAGAATTAGAAAAACAATTAGAAAATCTCAAAATAGAGCTTAGGTATGTTCGTCAAGAGTTGAAGACTCAACACGGACGGGAAGAACGACCGGACTCAGTGGGTAAGCTTGATTAGACTCGCGCGATGCACATTGATTACCTTGCTCAGGGCATGCAACATCGTCTGAGAAACACGTGCTGATACAACAAGATGATCAGATGCCAAAAGAAATGGAGAAACTCCGCAAGAACCTAGCCTTTAGCGAATCACAGATCGCATCTTTGAAATCGCAGCTTTTTGATTCGTCTGAAATCATTTCAAATCAAAGGAAAGAGATCGACAGATTGCAAAAGGCGGGATTGGACTTCCTTGACTTGAAGGAGAACGCCAAAGATGCAGAAAAGAAATGGAGCCTGCACGTTGAAAAGCTGGAGGCTCAGATCATCGACCTGCAGAATGAGCTGCACGCGTTACACAGCAACAGACTGCACTCCACTCAAAGCATGCTCGAGTCTCTTGCGGGAGACGGAGACGTCACTCTGACCATCAGGGTTGGAAAGAATGTCCTGGAACAGGACCTCCAACATCTTCTATTTCACTGTCTTGAAGTTCCCAAGCAGCAGGTAGCGGAGTTGAGAGCGATCGGAAAGTCTATCTTGCTTACCATTGGCGGAAATGGTGCTGCAATAGTGAAAGAACCTGCACATATTGTGTTGGAGATCTTTCGAAAATTTCGGAACTCAGAGAGTGCATTTTGCAAAAACTATTCTCCACACAGCATTGAGATCTGCAAGGAGAAAGGTGTTCAATTTCAACTTTCACGAATGGTAAGTTGAAACCTGCTGTTTTGATTTGACTCTTGGAAATGCAGGACGACGAGTGTAGCCTGTATAATCAAGAACAGAGCTCAGGTGAACTTAAAAAGTTTCAAGAATCATTGGATGCCAAGAGTCAAACGATATCAGACTACGAAGAAGAAATCAAACGATGGAAACAGGCCTTTAAAAGGCTTGAAGATGATCTGGATAATCACCATCAACTCATGGAGCAGCGCCTTGAACTTGCAAACTCTCATATAAAACTATTGCAGCAGGAGAGGGACAATGTTGTGCAGTCTTCTTTCAAGGTTTATGCTCAAAGTGACGACGAGGAAGCGATCAGAAACAATATTGCGATCCAGTCGATGATAGCCGAAAAGGATAATCAACTGAGATCAACTCGACATGCTCTAGACGTACTTGTGCACAACCTTCGTCAACATCTGCCGAGGTCAGGCCCGACATTTGAATCCCAAGCCAACATGGTAGAGGACTGGAATCGTGAGGTTGAGCAGATCGTCCTAGCTGTGTCCTCGACGATGCAAAATGAGACAAAAGCACGTGCAGTTCTTGAGCACAAGAGTAAAGAGGTGATTTGTTCTGCCCGTTTGCTGTAAAACTGATCAGTGTTGTGTAAGCTTGAAAGCTACATTGCAAATCTTGAGAACCAGCTTCAAGACAACCACTCCGCCTTGGAGAAGCAAAGATTCAATAGCGCTATCGAAATAGAGAGAGAGCGAAGCGAGAAAGAAGAAGTGTATGCCATCTTGAACAAGGAGAGAGTCGACAAAGAAGAGGCCCTCAAACAGCTGAATGTGGTAAACTCCGTCTTGGCTGGTCTACAACACAATAATGTTCCGACAGGCAAAGGATATCATCCATGGACTCGAATTGAAATTGAACAATGATAAGGAGCAACTCGAGATCACTTTGAGTGCCGAGAAAGCGAAGGTTTCAAAGCTGGAAGGAGCACAGGAGAACATGCGGGGTCAGCTGTCTCAGGTCTGAGTGTTCTTTATGTACGGGAAGCTCATCGTTATTTGTGCAGGCCAACCAGTTGATTGAAGAATTGAAAGAACAGAATGAAATAACCAAACAGATGCTAAATGAAAAGTTCGAATTGCTAGAGCAAGCCAATGCTGAGCTGAAATCGCTTCAGTTTCAAGGAGTGGAACTCGCTCAAAGGAAGGTTCTTCTGGAAAGTCGCCTTGAAGAAGAAAGTAAGAAGAATGACGCTGAGAAGGGAGATCTCCGCAAGTTGGTTGAAACTGAACAGAGCAAAGTTGAAAATTTGTCAAAGAGATTATCAGACTCGCAGGAGCGAGAAATGAACTTGTTGTCCATTCTTTACAAATCCACAGCAGAGAGTACGAAGAGCTCTCCAGAAAATTCGAATAACTCAGATGTCAAAACGCGCAGTCCCGAAACTGATGGAAAATCATTCCAGGGGATGTTTGAAGCCTCCCCAAGCTCATCGCAGCCAATGGTGCCTGCAGGCGAGCAAAGTCAAGACAACTTGGCGATCCCTTGGATTTCTCCTACTTTCCCATCAAGCACACAACTAACGCTGCACGCGTCCAAGCCCACCTACCAGGGTCAGCTCAAGGACGGCTGGCCGAATGGCAGAGGTATCACAGTTTGGGCAGACGGAAGGATTTACGACGGGTACTGGAGCAGAGGCGTGTTCGAAGGCTTCGGGACTTGCATATGGTCCAACGGCGACAAATATGAGGGGGAGTGGCATGACGGGTTTGCTCATGGGAAAGGTCACTACACCTACGCCAACGGTGACTGCTACGAAGGCGAATTCTTCCAGGATAAGTTCAATGGGTTTGGCGCTTTCACCTACAAGAGCGGATGGAAGTTTCGAGGAGCTTGGGAGGGGGCAAATTGAACGGATGGTGTATGGTAGTGACCGATCGAGGGGTGAAGAGAAAAGAACATTTCGCAAAGGGCGTCCAGACGAACCATGCCTCTTTCACTCAAGAGGAATACGGAAAAATGCTCCTCAAGGTCGGCCTTGCGTGCTAGTGTCTCCCATGACTTGCGTGTCGTCGTAGGTGAGCGAGATCGTTGCCGCTGTCAGGCAGCAAACCGCCAACATTCGCGAGGACAAGACAATCCAGCATCAGGCGAGCAAGTCGACGTCTCCAGTCACGCCTGACTGGCAACCTCAACCCGCTGACTCTGATTGGTAAAACTCTGATGGTTCAGCCTCGCTCTGGTCCCTCACTAAAGCGCAGGAACGACAAGCATGAGCTCAAGAATCCCGCGAATTCACCCACCAACGAATTCTTTGAAGAGCAGGGAAGCATGCAGCCATGGCTGAACTCTCCGTCGGCCATCTCCCTCACCAGCTCCTCGTTGAGCTCACCGGCGGCAGCAACGCCAGGTATGGAGGAGCATCAGGCATCCAGAGAGAAGGAGAAGAACGTGGCTCTCTTCTAGGCTGTCTTTGTTCCCCAGCGCATCAAGTGGACGATTCATGGAGAAGCACGTAGTCTCGAGACGAGTTGCCAAACTTGATGTTGTCTCGCTCCTTGAGCTCATAGTAGCGCATGTCGTCAATCCGTTCGCCATTGAGTTGTGTTCCTAAAGTCATTGTAAACTAAGCGAGAGAGCGCGTCCGCCGTTCTTACCGTTTGTGGTCTTGAGGTCCATCAGGTACGGCCTCACGCTCAGGATGACTCCTCCCACTCCGTCATCCTGCGCATCAGCAGCAAGTGAGCTCGGAAGCATAACCGTCGAGATTGACCTTCTCGTGCTGCCGGAATTGAATGACCGCGTGCTGCTTTGAGCAGGAAGGATGGTCGGTGGCGACGAACCCTGCAAAAACTTGACTTTGCGAAGAGAGCAAGCTGAAAACCTGGAAAGTGCTCCAAGCTGCGATCTCGTCCGAAGATGTAGCTGAGAAAGCATCACATACTGCTGTAGAATCAAGACAAGGAGGTACCAAGAACATCTGTGCAAGTGAAGGATACGGAGCTGCTCGTCCCCCTTGAACTCATACAGTCTCCACCTGAGAGGCCTTGAGCCATGCCATCACTCTTAACAAACTCACTTCTTGTCTGGCATCCTCGCCTCCATCGGTTCAACGAACTTCAACTCCACTCCCTTGAACAAAAATTAAATGCCGCGGAAAACATTTCAAAATATTACCTTCCATGTGCGGGTCTCAGAAGCCAGGAGGCCAGAAAGTCCATAATTGGCAGTCTCTTTCTTGCCCTCCTCTTCAGGCTCCTCCTCCTCGTTTTTATCTTTCTTGTCAGTTTTCTTGCCCCACTCATGATTTCTATATTCTGAATCATCACGGGGCATTCGGGCTGATCAATTACGATCGTCATATACAGAAGGAGAGAGCAAGACAAGTAGACATTCCTGCTCTCCTTCGCTGCATGTCATTCTGTTTTTCTTTCTCCATCGCAACCTGGTTTCTTTCTGAGTATCTAAACAACGCTCAAGAATATTACCAATGAAGGATCTAAATCTTCCCCAGTCTCTTGGTCGACAAACTGACCTCAAACTGTCAAACGCACTCTGCTTCATCTTTGATCGGAGCAAAAACCTTCATGCTCAAAGAAATCTTCTGGTTCTCCACATCCACAGAAAGAACCTTCAATGATCGATCAAATCTCATCAATGCAACGCAAAGGTCGACTACCTTCACCCTGACATTGTCCCCGACTTTCAATTCTTCATCTACCACCACCTGTAACCACACATGTCAACAAAGAATCTAGGACTTCATGTTCCATCCGACTCGCCTTCTCTCCTGCAGGCTTGTTGACAATCTGAGAGAAGTGGACGAGCCCCCACTTGCCGGGCTGCATTGACGTCAGAGTACCACCGGCGCAGAGCCTCTACTTCACCAGCGCCTCAATCTCCACAAAGGCTCCGAACTCTGCGACTCTGCGAACAACTCCCTGATGGATAGAGAAGATTGCAGGAGGATCGAAAGGTTCATTACGCCTGGGCCCTCGCCTGAACTCTCTGCGTCCTTCTTCTCCCTGCTGCCGCTAATATCTCAGATGTTGGAGATTGTGAAGCGTTTCCACCTCGTTCCTCTCAAACCGTCTTCCACGAGGGGGTGGCGAGGGATTTCGCTGGCGTCTGCATTCCATTGACTTTCAGTCCGACTCAGATTTTTCCTTCCAGGGTGACACCTGCTGTATCGAGGTGAACGAGATCGTGATCTTGATCGTCTGTGTGCCTGGGTCAAACATACAAGAATTTCAACTATTTGAACCTGTCGCGTCTTGGCAATGACCTCGACCTGCTCACATGGGGATACCAAAGCAAAGCATGCTCAGTTCCAACGCAACTCGTAGATAATCATTATCACCTCGATCTTCTTTCAAACGATCTTGACCTGTTCAGATTTTAAACTAGTTCAGCAAACCCATATTTGGATAAAAACTCGCCTTGATCGGCTTCTGTAGCGCGGAGATCTGCTTCTATATCGAGGAGATCTGCTTCTGTAGCGCGGAGATCTGTATGACACTCAAGGTATTGTTGCCTTTCCTTCATCTACCTCCGTCTTGGAGACAATGAGCGTGACGCTGAACGATCCCTGCCCTTCCTATCGTCGTTGAAAGAGAACAGAATTGAGGCGTTAAAAAACCTAAACCCTACAACACATAGCATACCTTTCCTCTCCGTTCTGCGCCGACCTGGGAGAATCCTCGCGCATGTTTCTGCTACATGTAAGTTGGTACCGTAGTCAAGAAGATGATGATTAGTATGTAGAAAATGAGCAAGTAGTATGTAGAAGATCAGGATTGGTATCTAGAACCAAGGGAGGCTTGAAAAGTGTCAAATGTTAACAAGCAACTCTCACAAGTGCGACCAGCGACTGAACCTGAAACATTGCAGCAAGAAGGCTCAGGGGGGGGACACGAAGGCAGGGCAGGCATGAAAGGGAGAGAGGATGAAGAGAAGCAGTCGAGGAAGGTATAATGTGGGGATAGGAGGCGGGTGTGGGGGGGGGGGAGGAGGAAGAAGAGGAAAAGGAGGATGGGAGAAGGAACAAAAGAGTGAAAATGTTGGGAAACTCAGTACATGGCGCGTGGAGGCGGATTGACGAAGAGAAACGCATGGGGAATGAGAATCATGCAGGATGAAGAATGGATAGAGTGGGTGAGTGGGTGAGTGGGAGAAGGAGGTCAAGGAGGACGTCAAGGAGGAGGTCAAGGAGGACGTCAAGAAGGAGGTCAAGAAGGAGATCAAGGAGGACGTCAAGGAGGACGTCAAGAAGGAGATCAAGGAGGAGGTCAAGGAGCAGGTCAAGGAGCAGGTCAAGGTTAAAGAATGAGCGCTTGATGAATCAATTCAGCATAGGAGCGGCGATCACGTCCGTGCGGGCCGGGCCAGGCGGGCCGGGGCCGCGGCGTCGCACTGACCGGCACCTGAGTCACTGGGCCTTTACTCACTGGGACTCGGGAGGTCAGTGCCAGTGCCAGTGTGCGGCCCCGCCGCCGGTAGGCCCCCGGGGGCCGCCCGGCCGGGCCCTTGAAGCCGCCTTACAACGGTATGACCCCACCCCCCTCTATGCCATGGGATCCGGTTCAGCCAACCCATCAGGGGTATTTCACCCACCCCTTCTTTACACCTCCCGGACCCACCACCCCATTTAGAGGGGATTCAGTGGACCACAATTATTCCCGTCTGGGGCGTCTTATGCTTTTTGATTAGAATTTCAATAATAATTTTCGGAGAAACTTGAAATATCAATATGGTATTTTTTCAATATAGATGAAATATTGACATTTGAGTTCCCTGCATGAGCTCAGTCTGGTTTTTGTGCAACCCCTCTAGTCCTCTCCGCGCTAATGCTGGGACGCGGCCTCCTCGTCGTCGCTTCTCCTCCTCGTTGGTAGCAGCGCCGACTCTCTCCTCCCTCACCAGCCTCCTTCCTATCCTAATCCACCACCTTCGCGTTCACTTCCCCCTCCTTTCACCAGCTCATCTTCGCTTTCAGCTCTGGGCTTGTCCACAGGATCCTGTACCGGTACCCACTGGTGTTATCCCGAAGCTAAGGAAAGGATCACAGATCTCCCACCGCTGTCAATTTGGCAGCTACATACGAATATGATCTCTATCAGATGCTTTCTGCTCGCTGCTCTTCTTTCAGCTGTCTCCGCTCGCAACACTCCACTCCAGGCGCAGCAACCTGCTCGGCATGGAAGGAAAGGGGTGCCCACTACATTGAACCTTCGAGGTGGCGGTGTTCCCCTGATTCCTTTGAGTGTTGCGGCCGGAGGGTTTGCTGTCCTTCTCAAAACAAATGCTCCATTCAGAGAGAAGATCTTCAAGGTCGAAATTTCTCCTAAGCTGCCGGGGTTGGTGAAACCGTAACACGCAGGTACTCTCCAACGTCAGGTTGAACAGGGGCGGACCGAGGCTCAACCTGAAGCAAAGGTGTGCTTACCTGTCTGCATGAGCATGTGCCTCCTGAATATTCAAGGGTTAGGAAGGACACTAAGGGCGCTTTGGCCGGATACGACGTGAGGAACGGCACCTGGGCTGTTGAGATTGACGAAGTACAACCCGGTTGCCTTCTGGTTTCTTCACCTGAGACTTTCAGATTTGCCGGCTCTAGATTGGTACCGTCAAATGTATAAACCGTTGGTTGCAAGATGAACGTTGTGCTAGGTTCTCGATCAATCGGTTGTTCTGCTTGTTCGCCATGGAGCAAGTGGAAGTTCGGGCTTCATCATCAACAGACCCACTCAATATAACGTCGGGGACGTCACAAAGAAGTTGCCGATGTTTGAGCAGAATCCATTGTATCTTGGTGGCGATATTGGAGAGGGAGTTTACATGTCAGTGTCATCGTTTTGAGATCTAAGTGGATTCACTGGTTTGGCAGGATCCATGGAGTCCCTGGACTCAGAAACGCAACCGAGGTTTCTGACGGAATCTATTATGGTGGTTCAGAGCATGCTATGCAACTCGTCAGTGAGGGAAAAGCGGAGGCCAAAGACTTCCGATTCTTCTTCAAGTATGTTGCTTGGGCTCCTGGGCAGGTAGGCATTCATGTTGCCTGAAATCGGTCTAACTTGGTTGAAAGCTTGAAGCCGAGATCCAGAGCGGATGTTGGTGCCCATTGCGATCTTCTCTAGATCTTGTCTTGCAAACTCGGGACTACAAAGGATTGTCTTACGCCAAATTTCACAAAGTATTCTGGCATCAGGTCTGCTGTTGCGAATTTGCGATTCGCCATTTAAATCATCTTCAGGTTTTGCACACCCTTGGAGGAAAGTTTCTGAACATATCTAGAGACACAATTGTGAGAGAGGAGGCTGAAAGACTGAAATTGGAAGAGTGGGTTGCAATCTTGCAAGATGGCGGAAACAAAACTGTTATACAGCACGAAGGCGTGGAAATGGGCGGTCTTGTGATTGCTACGATCTCTGAGAAAATTGAGCCTGAAGAGATGAAGACTGTGCCTGTAACAGTCAACCAGATCAAGGACACTGTTCAGGCAACCTTGAATGGAAACGAATCTCCTGATGTTGTGCTGAAGACTTTGAGTGCGTATTTCTTCAAACAGTACAAGACTATTCCTGGTGTTATTGATCCCAACGGTGTCGAGCTACACGATTTCATCAATCACGTGCTCGCTTCGAAGGAAGGTTCTCCAATGGCGTTGAGTTTCCTCTACATGGCTGTTGCTAGGGAGCTTGGTTACCCTCTTCGGGTGATGAACTGCACTTCGCGCATGCGAGGTCCAGTGGACTTCCTCGTGAGATACGATACTCCAGTGGCAGAGGGAGAGACTGCTCAAACCGAACCAATCTTTATTGACCTTGCGGCTGAAGGAAGCATCATTTCCAAGGAGGAAGCCATGGCGAAAATTCCTGGAGAGGAAGAGTCCAGCCTGGGTCCCGTGCCTCATGTACAGCTCTATTCAAGGTTCATGCATTCCTACGTGGACTCAGCTGCCAAGGCGGGCGATGAAGATTCATTGGTAGTGTGGCTACAGCAGATCAGGATCCTGCAAGCTGCAATCAATACCATTACCATCAGTCATGCGACGGCGAATCAGAACATTACGGCTGGAGGTGGAGCTCCCAAGCTCCAATCAGGAGAAACTGAACAGGGCATGACCTTGCACGAGATCCTGAAGGACGCTCGACTTGTTGGGCCGGGAAACACCACTTTTGATGCGTCTAACCTGAAGGATAAGTACGTTGGGATCTACTTCAGTGCCAGTTGGTGTCAGCCATGCAAGGCCTTCACCCCTCAGCTGATCCAGATGTACAGCAAACTCAAGATAGCCGACGGAAAACCTTTCGAAATCGTCTTCGTATCAGCTGACCGTAGCCAAGAGGCCTTCGATTCTTATTTTGGTCAGATGCCTTGGTTCGCTGTGGATTTCCAAGATGGCAATGCCAGAAGCACGCTTTCGTCGGCGATCGGGGTGGAGGGGATTCCTAAACTCGCCCTGTTTGACACTGAGGGGAGGTTGATCACAGGAGAAGGTAGGCGTCTTGTGATGGATGATCCCATGGGAGACAGCTTCCCCTGGACTCAATAAATGTTGCTCGAATTTCTTATTAAACAACAGTCTGTCTAGTATGTCTGTATGGCAACGTCAGTCACTCGCAGCCCAGAGTCACAGTGCCGCAACCGCTCCAGCATGGGCCGGTAAACCACTCGACAACCCCGGTGACCGGTCTTTGAGCCCGGCCAGACTCGCGGCCGCGAACCGGGCGCCGCGCGCGGCCAGATCACCAAGGCCTGAGATGTAACCGTAGCAGAGGAATGTAACTGTAAATGGGTTGCATGTTTAGAGGTATGACGGGTTTTTATAATCGTCAGAGACTTACAATACTTATTGACCTCAACCATAGAAATAAAAACTAATTAAAAGAGTCTCAATACTTTTGGAAAATATTGATTCGATTTAATAGAGTGACATAAAGTTTTCTGGTAGTTAATAAAACAAAGATATATATTTGTATGATTATTTCCTGCTAAATCTATTCTTCAAATCTAAAATATTTTGTGAGAAAGGAATCAAGTTCTGAGGGTGGGTAGTATTGTGTTGGGTGGTCAAGGAAGATTCACTATGACTACCCCCTTTTACAATTATCAAAGTACGGGTGTATGAGGTAGGATGAGCAAAGACCCATGGGGTCCCGACCCTCGTGTCTTTAATCAGTGGGGTATTTTTTTTAAAGTCCTGAGGGTCCCGAGGGTCGGTACCGTGAAGGAGGGGTAGTTAAGAAGGGAAAACCACAGGTGGAGCTAGAGAAGGGGGGGGTCCCGAGAAGCACTACCTGTCATTTGATAACACTCTTGTGATGCATTGGGGGGTAGAGGGGTTCTGAAATGGGGTGGGTACTTGGATTTTTCTTCAAGAAGGGGTAGTGGGAGTGAGATGGCTTTGTAGCGAGGTGGGTGGTAGTGGTTTTATATTTCTCGGGAGGTTGGATGGGATTTGAGGGGGTAGTATCCAGTCAACACGGCGGGTAGGGGGTCAGGATCAAGAAGGGGTAGGGGAACGAGGGGGTGGTAGCGAGGGTTATAAGAAGGAGGGGAGCGGCGAATCGCGTCAGGTCATGCTCAGAGCGATCAGCCTCCTCGCCGCTGCCGCCAGCGCTGCTGCGTTCGCCCCCGCGCCTGCGGGAAGGCTCTCCGCCCCCGCCGCGTCTCGTGCTGGTGAGAAATGATTGAGAAAACCTGCTCTCAAAGAATTGTGTCTGGAGAATTTTGTGGAAACCACCACAGGAGGATGTGGTGGGCATGGGGGGACGTTCATGGGGGTGAGAGGCAGGAATTCTACCAAGGACATCTACTTGTGCGAATGAAATGTCAATTCGAAGATGTTCCAGTGTGATATCATTGTTTTCAGTTCATCTGTGAAGATATCTTTGTCTGTGAAAACACGATCCTATTTTTGTGACGTGAATCTGACTTTATCGTCTTCAGCTATCTCGCGTGGACCTCGCATGGCTGTCTTCGAGGGATCTTTCTCTGAGTCCGTTCCTTTCTTGAAGCAGCCGACCAACCTTGACGGATCCCTCCCCGGAGATGTTGGATTTGATCCCCTTGGCTTCTCCGAAGTGTTCGATGTCAAGGTGTTGAGAGAGGCTGAGCTCAAGCACGGTCGCATTGCCATGCTTGCCGTTCTCGGATGGCTCGTCCAGGAGTCCTACACCTTCCCCTTCTTTGACAAGGTCTGCTTCACTGGCACAGCGCGCGAGATGAGCTCACATCTTGCAGGTTTCCCCCATCGAGGCCCACGACCTTCTCGTCAAGTCCGGTGGCATGTCTCAGATCCTCTTGTGGACCTCCTTCCTCGAGATCTTCGGCGGAATCGCTCTCTTCCAGACCATCCAGGGAACTCGCTACCCTGGTGACTTCTCCTTTGATCCTCTCGGCCTTTCCGCGGTGAGCTTCATCCTGAAACAAGTTCTCTCGTGGCTGATGTGCAACAGGGCAAGAACGAGGCCAACTTGGAGAAGTACCAGCTCGCTGAGATCAAGCACGGACGCCTTGCTATGATTGCATTCGGAGGGTGAGATAAGAGCTAGGGTTTTTTTTTATCTGATTTCTTTCATCAGATTTGCCCACCAGTACTTCATCACCAAGCAGGGAGTTTTTGAGCAGCTCGGAAACTTCAAGCCCATCCCCGGCTTCCCTGAGGCTTACTTCGGCCCATAAACGTGATATTTAGTTACAAAGGCAGTGCGCCATGTGGTCTTGTGAAATTTCAATGAAAATATGATTCTTTACCTCCAAAAAATGGCTTTGAATCCCACGCCTGTTTGAAACTGATCTGAGTGATGAGAAGTTACACAGGCGTATACTGTGTAAGTGTCAATGGAGAAGTGTGATATATTTACCGTGCTGTGTTCGTTCTGCACTGGTGGAAGCACAGGAAAGGAAATCAGTGCTTCAATGGCCCATATGGTTGACCTCAACTGTGAGGAGCTGTGCTCCTATGGTTTCAGTGATACACTAACGAGGAATCCAACGAACAATGGGATGCATAGCATTGATGTTTATTTAGAGAAATGACGTCGATCATTAGGCACCAAGAAATCCCCGTAGAAACTTGTCACTTTCCGCTGATTTCAAAGGGTCACTTCCCTGATATCAGAGTCAAAGAAAGCTTATCAACAAACATGCAGGGGACCTTCTTCAGAGGAGATGTAGGATCAAAAAGACTATCATGCTTCCCGTCTGTCAAACAATGAGTGTCCCACGCAACAACAAGGAGGTTCACGTTTGGTAGAAGAGAGTCCTGTGGTTCTTGGATCTTCGAAGCCACGGAGAAACTTGTCATTCTCAGCCGCTGCAAGCGGGTCCTTGTCCTACTCACAGTCAAACTTGTACAAATAAAAGAGAGAGACATACAACCTTGGAATGGTGGTTGTGCACTTGTGTGCGCGAGTTGCTCGAGCCAACGACGGGATTGTCAGTCTTCTTGATGAAAGAAAACGCTTTTGCCCACGCAGAGTCTCCGGAAGAATGAGATGAATGAGAATTTCCACGGTCGGCATGCATATCCGAGAGTGAGGAGTCACTGCTACTTTGGGAAAGGCTGGAATCGTCCACATTCAGAGAAGAGTCCAATGACGACGTGCCAGAGTCATCCGACGAAATCGCACTCGACCCCGATGAGTCAGGAACAGGTGGGGGCGGATCCACTGCAGGGAGAAGATGAGCATCGTAATAGCAAAGAGGATAACACGGCATTTTCACCTGTCGACTGAGAATCTGAAGAAGGGAGCGATGATGTAGCACTATCTGACTTGCTAACAAGACTTGTTTTAGAGCTTCCTGAATCCGAACCCGATCTCGACTTGGAGCTTAACACTTTAGAAGGATCAAATGGAGGAGGAGCAACAGCATTCGCCCCCGTATCGCTCTTTCCGCCTCCAAGCAGAGTGCCTTGCATCACTTGCTGCTTGATGGACTGTGGAGGAGGAAGATAACCCGCTTTGTGCCCGAAGTCTGCACCATTCACATTGAGCACACGAACATGATGAAACTTAAGCTCACCTGTCATAGCCTTGAAATCATGATTGATCTCATCCCTCAGAGCCTTCATTTTAGCCGCAATGATCTTTTTTCGTGCCAAACACTACATCCGCATTAGCCTTGCCATACACAACAACACAACTGCACTGCTTACCTCTTTCCCGCAAGGCTTCTTTGCTCCAGTAGTTTGAGTCTCTGCAAGTTCTACTGGACTTGCATCTCGATGACCTGACTCTTCCTCTACCATCGCCAACAGATTTTGAAGTACATGATTTGTAACATGACCCACTTCCTTTTCAGAAGCTGACATTCCATTTAACTCTTGACCCATTTCAATACTTTTTGCTCCTTGTCTGCTGTTATCCATCCAAGCAAGCAATACAGAAAATAAACATGCAAAGAATGCAAGAGAGATCGCAAATAGTCTTCTTCGTCTTTTCAACGGATCAACATGAGTGACTGAGGGTACATTAGTGGCTCTTTCTGCACAGTCTGACATCCTTGGTGCAGGGTTTTCTGTGTCTGAAAGCTTAAAATGTCTAGGCTTTGTAGTTGGAAACAGGTATAGGACAGGATCAATCCGTGAGAAAGGAAATCATGCTCACAGAACGAGTGGCAACCAGTTGGAACGAGGAAAGCAGGCCCTGAAGGATTGGATGAGGGTGATAGGAAGGAAGTACAGAGAAGATGAAGAGGGAGGGAGGGAGGGAGGGAGAGGGAGAGGGAGAGACGCTGAGCTGACCAAGCTGCTGCTGCTGCGGTGGAGCAACAGGAAGCCGCTGATGCTTGATGATCTATTTCCGGCGCACACACAATTTAGTAACTGGGTCTGAGGATGGATGAGGCCAACCCGGCCGGGCCTGAGCCGCCCGGCCGCCGCACCGCCCGGGCCGGGCCGGTCAAAAAAGGTCCAACCCTCAGTGACGAGTCCCGGGTCCGACGGTCCGGTGTGGCACGGGTGACCCGGACTCAGGCCCGGCCAACCTGTGACTCGGAGTCAGGCATATCGTTTCGAGTCACTGACTACGCTAGTATGTCAGTCGACCTCAGAAAAGTCACGCAGACATCACATCGACCTCAGTTGTAACAAGACAGTTTTTGCTCAAGACCGAGTTTAATGCACACAAAAACAGAATTGAGGAGCACATGAGAGATAGACTGTATGCTAGGATGTGAAACCCAAGCATCCAGACATGAGAGGACCTTAACAAGACGGCTAGGAAAGTCCCCTCTTCATCCCATGTACTACATGCCGCCTCGCCACGTAAGACGTTTTGGTTTACAGGAGAGTTTTTGTTAACTCGGCGCTATCTGACTGGCACGGCTGGCATACGTTCCATCATAAGTTTCACTACGAAGAGTTTACTATCATTCCATCATAAACCAGGCACTGTAGGCTGACTCGAGATCGAACACTTCGAAAGTTAATATATCACAACCTCCAAAGTCACTCTGGGAGCCTTGGAACCATGTGGTTATCCATCAATCTTATGCTTACAGGGTTCCTGATGCTTTGTATTGGTTGATACGCTCTTCAATAAGCGGTCGGAAATTTCTGATGAGTCCCTGCAAATTTATCGGTGAGCATAGCCCAACACGATAAGCAGACCACATGACACCTGAACAGGCCAAGCTGCCGCATCTCCAAGGGCACAAATGGTATGACCTTCAATCTGCAGTTGATTTCAGAACAGATCAATCAAGTCAACTCCCAAAACGCGTTTCTCGGTTCACCTGACGAGAAATCTCGTCGAGCATGTCAATCTCACCAATTGATGCATTGCCTACCAAGCTTGCTTCAGGGCAAAATCGTGAAAGAGTTTTTGACCTATGGTAAATCTCTGAAGGATGTTGTACATCCACATGCAACCCTCTCTGCACGGGGTACATTGTCCTGCATCGGCATTTCTTAACACACACGGCAGATTCCATACAGCACGTACCACAACTCTCGTGCTTAAAGAACGAGGAAATACGGGCGACTGCTTTGATGATATCCTGAAACAACGTGATTAGGACAGATAAGTGCTGCTCTGCGTGAATGACCTGGGAATTATCGAGCACCGTCATAGAGCCAGTTCCGAGTGCCTACAGAACTTGTCAGTACACACTGAATTCAAGTGCCAAAAGAGTAGAGAGACCGATTTATACTTCCGCAGACCATCAAAGTCCTGTAGGCGAATCACTTTGGATTTCAGCAAATCGATAATTCGCTACCATGATTGCTTCTGCCGCCATGCTCTTTGTGATCATGGGAACCGAAACTCCTCCAGGAATTACAGCCTGAATTAATACAGAAAACTTGAGAAAAATACAATCTGCAGTAAATGCCAAACAAACCTGCAGATTGTCCCAGCCACCACGAACACCTTTTCCATGCTTTTCGATGAGATAACGCATCGGAACACCTTCATCAAACCCGTCAGCATCAATTCGCATTCAGTGAATGTTCATTTACCCATCTCTTCCTCAACCGTGCAAGGATTATTTACGTTGCCTATGATAGAGTTGGACGATGTAGACACGCATTAAAAAACTAAAGACCTCCAACGTTGAACAACTTGGTGCCTTTGTTCCCTTCGCGCCCAAAAGAAGCAAACCAACTACCACCCCTTCTCATGATTGTCGGAACGACAGCAACGGTCTAAAATCGATTGAAGGGGTGGCTTAATGGCATAAACAATCTTGGAACCAAAATACCTCAACATTGGTCACGGTGGTGGGGCAACCCCACAGGCCAACGTTTGCAGGAAAAGGAGGTTTGAGCCTTGGCTTGCCCTGCACCAAAGGTCAAGGAAAGTTTAAAAAGGAAGGAGTTTTTACCTGTTTGCCTTCCAAAGATTCAATCATAGCAGTCTCTTCGCCGCAAATGTATGCGCCTCCACCTTGATTCGAGTCATATCACAAGATTATTCTGTGATCGAATAAAAGGTTCACACCGCGATGAACATAGACATCGAAGTCATATCCACTGCCACAAGCATTCTTGCCGAGTTTTCCTTCTGCATACGCCTCGGCAATAGCTTTCTCCAAGGCAACATATTCATCGTAGTATTCTCCACGAATGTAGATGTAAGCAGCCTATATTTCATTTCACGCTCGTCCAATGCAATTGCTGCGTCAAACCTTGGCGAGCATGGCAGCACCAACAACCAGACATCCGTCCACCTGAATCAGATGATCAAATAAGAGAATGGTACAAGCCATGCCTACCAGCTTGTGAGGCTCATGCCGGAGAATCTCTCTGTCCTTGCATGTGCAGGGTTCACTCTCATCGGCGTTCACCACAAGATACGAAGGTCTAGTTGGCGGATGCAGTCAGCTCAGATCCCAAGAGTCTTACAGACATCTTGATACCGTCCATCTTTCTTCTTGGGCATGAATGAGTATTTCAATCCTGCAGATGATTTCAACGAACCCCATCTCAACTGAGCTTGAGGATTCTGCAAGACCTGTTGGGAAGCCTGCACCACCACGACCACGCAATCCTGAGGCTTTGAGCTCATTGATGGTGAACTCCCACCCCTTCACAAAACCATGGATCAGAATATGATACAAGTTACACCCTGATCTCACCTTTTGCACTATTTCTTTGGTCATGTAGTAATCACCTCTCTTCATCGCACCCTTGATGCTCGTGTCGTGTTCACCATAGATGTTTTGAAAGATGCGATCCTGATCCTTGAGACCTTCGCTGAATTGTACTGGAGTGTTGGCAGAGGAAAACATCCTAGCTGCAGCAGCTGCGCTCCCTTTCTGGTTCAGGCGCTGGGCTGTGGAAAGAAAGTTATTTACTAGTTGAAATGGGCAAAAACTGCAATTTGTTTCAAGACAGGTCATTTTGTTACGAGTATCAAGAACCATTGAAATGAATATGATTTTGCTATCTGTTGTTTGTTGTGGAGCAGAGTAATGAAGCAGAACCATTGTTTCAGGCACCCTACACATAGCGCAAACCATTTAGGGATCGAGTTGATTGTAATGGAGATAACAAAGGGCAGATTAAGACGATTGCACCATCGAAAAGACAACAAGTAACAGATGGAAGACATTGTTGCATTGAAGCGCGATTTCTCTGCGCCTGCTTACCCGCCGTAATGGCCTTTCCCAACGACCGCCGAAGCATTGCGAGGCTTTCTCGGTGGTAGGAGGTGGTAGTAGCTGATATACTTTCTAGGACACTGCTCGGACTAAGAGAAGACCTAAGAACTCCTATGACCAGACCTAGGACCTGCTTGATTGAATATTCCTTTTATAAAGAAGTATGTAAAGGAATTCCTTTACTATCTACATTTTGGCATTGTACCATATTTGATATTTATAACTCATAAATTTATTGAAATTATACATTTCATAGTGTAAATTGTTTTATTTTCTAGGCGTCTTGTGCGTCCGGGGCTTTCAAAAATTGTTTTATAAGACTCCCGTAAAATGTAAAAGTCGCTAGCTGGTGGCCTAGCCTGAGAGTTCCTTTACTCAAAGTTAAGTTAAAAATCAGTACGAGGATTGACTAGGCTAACAGACAGGCTTCGGACAGCCGTAAGTGATCATGAGGGCATGCCTATAGGACATCATGATCATGCGTACGCGACTGTTAGTCTGGATGCTGCTGATGCTGTCAGGAGGACAAGGGTCGTCGCAGCAGGCATGTGGGTGCATCGAAGTGGAGTTGTCCATGATGAAGGCTCTGCAAGTAGGCGTCACAGTGTGACTGTTTGACGAGTCCCCAGTGTCACTGCAATGCAGGTCAATCTGTCACAAACTCAGAAGATTCTACAAGACTATGGACAGAGATTCGAGGAGGAGAACACCCGCTATGTCAATCTCAGTCGCGCCATGGCCCAGGTCTCCTGCGCCATCACCTATGCTGGGATGATGCCGACCTCAGGCCGAGAGCGAAATCAAAAATAGTATCACAGAGGCAGACAGGCAGAGATACTTGCTGTCAGTGCAAGGAAGCGACCTAGGTCCTGTCGATGCCTTGCTGCAATCATTGAATGGCGAGTAATTGTCATGTCCTAGAATCTCAACACTGCCTGACTTGTACTGGCAGAGCAGCTCAACCTGTTGAAAGTGCAAAATTACGAGAGGTGAAACAACTTAAAGCCATTAGAGCGCTGAGATCATGTGCATGCAACAGGCTCGATTTCGAGACAAGAAAGCTACGAAGCACCACGGAGCTTGTAGACAACTTGAAGAGACAATTACTGGAGCTGCAAAGATTTGAAAGCCAACAACGGAGGGTGGTAAGAAGAGAGCTCGATGCTTCATGGTCCTTGTGACAAGTACTCCAGCTACGTCGTTCTGCAAGTGGACAGATTTCAGTGTCCAATTCGCACACCTGCCTTCTTGGACGAGAAGGAAAGCTACGGTGTTGGGGAGGAAACGATTACCAGCAGAGTCAAGCTCCTGCATACTTGGACAACGCAAGGATCTGGCAGGTAGATGATATGATTTGCTGCAATCAATTGTGAAACAAGTCAGGTTGCAACTGGAGATGGGCAAACTTGCGTGATCGTAAGCGAAATCTTGAGCAATGTTCGGGTTGGACAACAGGCAAGCAGGGAAATCAGGTTGAAAGTCTCGCTGCAAGGGGGTAGAGAGTTTGACATCTGCAAAACAGGTGTTGGGGTAACAATGTTTTCGGGAAGAGCAATCCTCCTAAGCTAGAGCATGTGTCCTACATTTCTATTGGTGGAGCCCACGCATGTGCCATCTACACATCCGGTCAGGATCGCGCGGACCGAAGTTTCGGCATGCCGTCTGGACAAGTTGCTTGTTGGGGTTGGAACGCTTCGGGTCAGCTGGGAGTGCCTCAAGGGTTGTCGGTAAAGGAGATCAGCTGCGGATTCTCTCATACTTGCGCTTTGAACGCTCTTGGACGAGTATGTTGCTTGGCTCTCGTCCCATGGACCCTAATGCTGCTCAGATTCTTTGCTGGGGAAACCCAGCAGAAGGAAGGCTTGATTCTCCGACGGGACTTGGATTCTACGGTATTTGTAAGTACCAGTCAAAGCCTTGACTGTTGTTAAAAGTCATCACAGCGGCCGGACACGCGCACACTTGCGCTATTGATCAGCAAGGACAGCCAGTCTGCTGGGGAAGCGAGGAGATGCTGGACGAAAGCAAGTTGAAGGAGGTTTACAGATGAGAGCTTCGGTCCCATGGATTCTTTCTGACTCCTGATCGAATCAGGTTCGTCAAGATTCCATCACCGAGTCGCTTTCATGCGGGTCGGGACACACCTGCGTCATCAACGCAGTTGGAAGGCTGACTTGCTTCGGCAAAGGATCAGGTCGGACAAGGCCTGGCCCTCGTCCCTGTCATCCTTTGATGCTTTCGCAGCCCGTCTGTACTCTACCTCGCAACCAGCTGCAGGAGGCAGTGCCCCGTTACAAAGTGCTGAATGTGTACAAGGGGGATGTGGGGGCTGGACTTTCATATGTGAGAAGATGCTTCAGAAGATTGACACCTCCTGCATGACCAACGCGACGGTCCAATTAGCTCCTACAGGTCCTCTCCTGGTGACACATGATACCCTTCCCTCCGTGTCTCCCTCTGAATTTTGCAGTTCGTTCATGTTGGTTTCAACGCTGCATGCGGTGCTGAAAGGTGAGGAGCAGCTGACGGATCTTCAAGTCTCATCGCTCCTGCGCAGAGTTTCCGGACGAGTCATCTGCTGGGGTGAAGTGTACCAGAGCGTTCCGAGAACCGACGTCATGCAGGTTTGATCAAGAGATTGGCATCTCTCGACCTGATCATTGTTCAAGAATACGTCGAGATTTTTTGCTCCAGAAGACGCTCAGGTCTGTACTGGTTGGCCATGGGAGTGAGTAGAGGATTAAACGCTCCCAACCCTTTCTGAATGTCTTCGACGATTTCCTCGCGGCATGAAATTGTTCCACTATTCCTATCAAAACAATGATCAAGCAAACGGTCTGTTCTTACATACGATCGCTCTCTTGCTCCACCTGATATTAACCCCCCTTTTACTTACAGATCAGTAAAGGGTACTCACTGACATACAAACAAAATGCTACAGACGCCTACTACCCCACTTATTTGTATCTGCACTGCGGCAGGATGTCGGCCCGTCAAACACTCCTCAGGAGTGTTTGACCTTTTTTTTCCCCTCTGTGACTTACCCACCCTCCCTAAAATCTACACTTCCAACCGCATGTCCGAATCCACCCCCCATTCGTAAGTCAAGATGACCCCTCTTGGATCACCCCCACCCCCCTGACTGTTGGAGCCAGGGCGCCGCTTGGTATGTCGGCGATCGATGGGGCGAAGAAGCTGAACGGGAAGGGGGAGGAGCAGCCGCCCTCCTCCTCCTCCCAGCTCGTCATCTCCTCCCACTTCTCTGCTCCCATGCTGCAGCCCTTCCCTGGCAACGGCCAGCCAGACTCAGCGGCCAACAATCAGCTGATCAGCCGCAAGACTGAGAAGATGATGGGGAGGAGGGGAAGTTACACCACAGCTGAGGGAAAGATCCTATCGCTTCGAAGGTTGTGGGAAGAGATAGACGTGAAGAGGAGCAGGACTGTTCTATCCATGTCCTTCTTGAGATATCTCTTCTTCGTTACGATCTACCTCATCGCCCTGTACCATCAGAAGAATGGTAAGGACGCCTGCAACATCAATGTGACGTTCAAGGATTACTTCAACTCTCCCCTGATGGACTCTACTCGAGGCCAATTCCGCTTTGAAGACATCAGAACCACCGACGAGCTGTGGACATGGCTGGAGCGAAAGTTTGTTCCCCTCTACTACGACTTGTTCTGGAGCAATGGGGAGGCCAAGATAGACTTCTACAAGAGTGCTTTGCTGGATCACAATCGCATCGCCAACGGTCTTCGGCTGACTCAACGACGAGCAGCCCTCAACAAGTGTTCTCCGACAGCCAAGTATGTCCCATTCTTCCCTTACTGCTACCCCTCGCTTGAGGCAGGAGGAGTGGAATCGAGGCAACCCTTTGGGCCATACTACAATGATCAGAAGTATCGCTACACTACTTTTCCCAGTCAAGGAGAAGACAACGGATTCGTCATCAAACTCCCCTTCAACTACAACGACACTTTGACTCAGTTGCGTTCGCTCAAGGCTGATCGCTGGATCGATGAGGCAACGCAGTGGTGGCGCCTGGACTTTGCGACGTTCAATCCGTCGGTGAACATGTTTGCTCAGATCGAGCTCATCGTTGAGTTTACAACTTTCGGAAGGGTCAAGCCGAAGATCGAAATTTCAAGTATGAGATCGGAAGTTTACATGAACAAGAATCGCGACTACGTTCAGATCGTGCTCGAGATTCTTGTGATGATGGGGATTATCATGTACGTCGTGGGAGACGTAAAGGATTTTCTGATCCATCGAGCTGCGGGGAAGGTTTACACTCAGTTCCTCGGCAGCTTCTGGATCATTATCGACATCCTGCAATTCACTTTCTTCTTCATGGACTTCGTCCTTTGGATGATCGTCATTGCCGACCCGGTGCGACGAGACATCAAAGTGCAACTTGGCCCCATCATTGAGGGCGCTCGGAGGGACGTCAGCCTCGACATGCTTCAAATGCACAACACAACGCTCAGCTTGATGCCTGCGGCATACAACAGCAACAACTACTTCGTCGTCCAGTCGTTCACCGTGCTGCTAACTCTGATGCGCTTCTTGAAGTACATGGCAATGAGTACGATGACGGCTGGTCTGATCGAGACGTTTCTGGTGATGAAGGTCTATCTCCTGCAGTACATCATCCTCGTCTGCGTCTGCAACGTGGGCTTCGCATACGTCGGTTACCTCCTCTTCGGACACGCGCTCCTCGAGTTTGCCACCTTCAATTCCTCTTACTTCACTCTCTTCGCCACGTTGCTGGGAGAGGGAATCAAGTACTCGGACCTCCATGCAGTGAACCCCACAGGAGCCCCCATCCTCTACATCCCCTTCGTCGTCTTCTACGTCTTCATCGTCCTTCAGTTGGTCGTCGGCATCATCATGGAGAGCTATCAGGTCTACATGGCCAACCGCACCCGCCACGTCGACATCGTCCATCAGATCCTCTACGGCTTCGCTCGTGCCTTGAGCTTCTTCCGCTCCTTCGTGGACCCGGAGGAAACTTATCGATATGACGGGCCCGATGCCGGGCAGCTGCGAGAGTGGCTGGAGACTACCGACTTCACGGAAGAGACTGAAGTGACTCAGCAGCAGCTGTACGAGCTTCTCCGCCCGCACAACGTGACCAGGTTGGTCGACTTGTAGCTGACTGGACAGCTGAATTCTAGCTGACGACTGGCGGCAGGGAGGACGTTGCCTTTATCTTCAAGAGATACTCCTACTGCACAAGAGAGCAGGACCCCCCCATGCCTGAGCCAGAGGTGAACGACATGGTCCGAGAGCTCTACAAGCAGATCAAGGTCAACACCCCCCGCCCCAACCCCACTCCTTCCCTTCTCCTTCCTCCCTCCTTTCACAGCTTCTATTCCCTGACCCCTTGCCCGTGCCCTTCCATACACTCCTCTCCCCTCACCCCCTGTACAAGTATCTCAAGGTCACACTGGAGGGACGCAGGTGCTGTCGGAGTCACAGTCTGTAGTTCACCGCAAGTTGGACTCGATCCTCTCGGGACAGAACATGTAAACTATGAGGGGCGACTAGCTCTGACCACCTCCCCACCATTACCCCACTGCTCGCCTTTCACCTCCACCCGAGTCGGACGGCCTCGCTCAAGTCTCTGCCGTCTACTCGCACTTGATGTTCTTGTAAATGTAACGGACGAAGTAGAAGGAGGAAAAGAACCCGACGGATCCTGCAAGCGCTGCGTCACCCCACCACTGAGTAGGAGGAAACTAAGCACCGAGAAGAAGCCACGCGCCGTAGCACGCGACGCCCATGTACCCGAAGAAGAAAGAAGTTTGCATGAAACCTGAAATTGTGTTACAAGCCCTTCCTACCCTCCGAAACACACCTGACATCCTCGCTTTGAACTTAAAGTCTGTTCATCGAGTCAGTACGAGGGAGACAGCAAAGACGAAGTAGGAGGTCGCGCTCACAATATATACAGTAGACAAATATGAAGATTCCGGTTGAGCCTCCGCTGAAGATCGAGCCTGAGAGTAGTAAAGTGATGAGAGGAGGAGACGCGACGATGGGATGACGAGGAAGAAGCGAAGGGGGTGGAAATGAAGGAGAGCATAAGACAGCGGGGTTCAGAGGAGGCGACGACTTACGCCACCACCACTGATGGTCTTCGATCGCAAGTTGGAAGTAGGTCAGAGCGATCGTTATGAAAGCCGTTACGACAAGGAGGATAATGAAAACCTGACCAACAAGGTCAGGCTTGCCCAAGGAGCAGGCAACTTGCCAGTGTCAAGATGCCGTACAAGGAGTACAACTGGTGGCCCCAGACAGACGCGAACACGTAGTAGAGCTCGATGTAGATGGCACTGGAACGAGAAGTGAACAACGAGTCGGCAGAGAAGAAGAGTACCTAAAAGGAAGAAATCCAGCCATCAAGATCTGCCAAGGAGCTTTCCTGTGCCTGTACGGCCGGTGAAAACTCTATCACAGACCGAGAACGTCAAGTTCACCATGGGAGGGGAGGAATCTCCCGAGGCATCTTGGTCGTTCTGTCGAAGATCAGAAGCCAAGTCGCATCAGGACCCCATACCTGCAAGGGGCATCCATGGGACTAGAAAAATTCCTCCCAGAAATCCCTCCGATGACATTGAGAGGGAAGCTCACTGTGATAAATGATTAGATAAGGCCCTTGCAAGGGGAAGAGAACCGAGGGTGAGGATGAGGAGGATAATCACGATGGTTCCAAAAGGAAGAGCCGTCGAGGAATTGTACGAGACAGCCACAAAGTTCAAGAATGTAGCTGCAATCACAATTGGAAGCTTGAAAAGCAAACGAGAAACGCTTACCCACAACAAAAAAGGGACCCAAGAACAGGAAGTACCCATAGATCAAGCTCCATACCCTTCCACCATCATGAGCAAGTACCCTTGATCCTTGAGATGTATTACCAGTTTGATCCCTCAAGCTTCGCGTACATATTCCCATTGACATACCCGTTGATGCCTGAAAAAAGTCATAAGCCCTTCAATGATGAGAGACTATCGCAGCACCAGACGTGAACGCAAAGATGAAGAGAGCTGCGACAAACAACGCTCCTCGGTTGTACTGGCTGTGTGGATGTCAGTCGTCTGAACCTCTGATTGTGCTTTGAGCACTGTCATCCGTCACAACCTGTAGACTCCCAAGCATGCAAGGAAGAGAATTCCGATGCACAGGCAGAGAAGCTGCGTCCCGTTTCCTGTATCATCTTCAAACGCGTGCTGTGATGTCTTCACAGAGAAAGAAAGACCTAGAATCGCGCAGAAGAGCTCTTTTTGGGGAGGATATCGAAACACATCTCCGTGAACAAGTTTCCACCCGCTCTCTTCAGCTTCTGCTGTCACGTGTCAATGAAGGCGTCTTGCGCAGTGAGAGAAACAGAAATCCAACCATGATCCTCTTCGTCCATTCGCGAATAGCGCAAGAAGTCATTCTTCAGCACGCGGACAAGAATGGTTGCAAGGAATCCGGTCAAGAGGAGAACAGTGACCTGAAAAGATGTATCAGATCCCAGGTCCAGGGTGACAAATCTTCACTTACGATGGAGTTGAAGATTGAGAACCATCGAATCTCCAGGTGCTGAGGCGACGGTTGCTCCACGTGGTCACGACTAGTCAAAGTCGATCGTGTGAGCGATGTGAGACAGGAAGCAACGGACGGCTCAGCACCTTGGGAGATGCGACTTGGACCAACGAGCGGAGTAATAGAAGGAGATTGGACGAGACTGGAAGGAAGATTTGTCAGCTCCTTGTTCTCTCACCCCCAACTTTTGTCGAGAACCTCAGTGGAATCCGATATGTCGAGGCGATTGTTTGGATCATGTTCCCAATTCACTTCCACGATCTGTCAAGGAAGGGTTGGTGGTGTTTTCTTGTCGAGTCTTCACATCTGCTTTACCTGACCATCATTATTGTATGCCATCGAAAAGATGTAATTAGTGAAAAGGAAGTATGACCTGTCACGCTCAAATCAATTCTCCATGAATAGGATCAGAAGGCACTTCACTTACGTGACATTTTGTCCATCAACAAGATTCGTTTCCTTTTCACCAATGAATCCCCAAAGCGGAAGGTCATCTGTCACAAGCACTCAGCACCAGATAGCCACAATGACGTATGTTCACCATAGATGAATTCAAAATAGTAATCATCATCAATTGCACGTTGAAATGCTTCGATGTCCTTTCTGGACAACTTGTACGAGCACAATTTCTTGCTTTCAAAGGGAACTGCATATACAGTGAGCAACATAAAGGCTCATGCAGGATGATGTTCATCACCAAGAAAGGGAAGAGTGAAGAGAGTCTTCATCATTCGATCCCCAGCAAGCACTTCGCCAAGATGTTGACTCTTTCTGAACTCCTCACGTGGAGCACAAAAAGGCAAGGTGTAGTATTCATATTGCTCGCTTGGATTCGCGAAAGGTCCCACCTATTCCGATGCACACATGGTCAGTCTACTTGCCTAACAAACCTACAACATCACGATAGACCTTGTTGGCAAACAACGGGACTGGGTCGCCCTTCTGGTACTTTGTACTCTGCGTGTTAAATGGTCAAGCAGGATCTCTTAGGCGAAGTTCTTGCAGACCTGTGACGATACTACAGCAAGAGCGAGGAACCAAGAAAGAATGAGAAATTCACCGCAAGCTTTTGACATCTTCACGTCTCGCGGATCACTTTTCACCCTACTATCTTTGAAACAAATTTTGATTCAGTTGGGAAAGGTTGATCATCAAATATTATTCCAGGTATCATTTCAGGTGTGTCTCTTTCCGTCATTATGCTCAAACTATCATCAACTATCTCCATATTACATCTTGCGCTCTTGCAAGGAATCAATCGAGCTGTTGTGTTCGTTCTTAACAACTCCTGCCCATCAATACTCTCTTCTCGCTTGCTTCGCTAATCCTTCCAACCCTCAGCAGTTGCACCAAGGAAGGCAGGATACTTTCATGCAGGTTGAAGTCAGCCATGCAGATTGGTGATGATCAAATTCGGGATCTTGAGAAGGGTAAAACTACGATGAGCAAGACAATCAGCTGGAAGGAGGGGGGTAGCAGAAGAGGGAAGGAGAAAGAGTCCAAGGCCACAGGAGGGTTGCAACAGGACGGAAGGAAGGAGATCAAGCAGGTATTGGATGATGTCAGCATAGCACAGGAGGCATGGAGGAGGAGGAGGAGGGAAAGACATCGCGCGCTGTTTCTGCTCTCCCGCCATGTTGCCCTCAGCTGCAGCGCGTCTTCACCGTTACAAACCGTTAAGGACTTACACCGTTACGAAATACGTTTCGGTGGCATTGGGTTTTTGGCCGCAGGCCCGCCGCCGGCCGCGGGGGCCGCCGGCCGGCCCCGCCCGGCCAGAGTTCGATCCGTGATCCGACCCGACCCGACGTACACTGGGCCGTGCCAGGCTGAGCGCCGGTGAACCGTGTGACTCGGCAGTGACTCGACGGTGCCCGGCGGCCGCCCGGGCCGGGCCGGCGGCCGCCGCCGCCGGCCCGGGCGGCCGCCCCCCGGCTCACGGTCACTCACTGAGTCAGCGTCACTGACTGAGGAGTCTGTGAACGCCTACTAGGGCTAACATGCCATGATGATTCACGGTGACTCAAGCTCTCCGCAGAAGTATGATTCAGTCACGTCTAGGAGTAGGGCGAGTCAGTCCGCTGGTTGCAGTTTTATGTCACAAGGAAGTTCCGAAGCCAAAAAGGTCAAAAAAAGCTGATGAGCATCTGTTTGTAGCGAAACTGACGGGCATCTTCACTTGTATTTACATGAATGAAGTGTGTTGAAGTGTGTCGGGCGCTGAATGTGCCCTACAGACCCCACCACACATCATTGCAAGGAACTGGAAGTGAAGCATTAGACAGCCTGTGAGACCAACCTCTCACTGACCTGGGCCAATCCATCGAATCGTGAAAACAACGCAGACTGTGATGATGAACACGAACGGAAGGTGAAAAAACAATCCTGCATTCCGGGAATCAGAAATCAAGCAGATTGGCCAGATATGCTTGCCATAATAATACTCCAAGCTGATCGATAAATCTTGCGGCATCATAGGAATCAAGACTAGCCACTTCACCCGATACCTGCCAGGCCAGGTCAGAAGCAATGCATCCAAGGAGCTCAGCAAACCTTGTTGAGCCAACTTCCTGCGTGATTTCTTGAGGGCAACACGCATCTTTCACCAAGAGAGTCAGAATCTCAGAGGTTCGTCACCAATACACAAAGGAAGGGAATGAGACCGAAAACTACTTCGTCCACATTCTGAACAAACATGATCGCGACCTGCGGAACAAAATCGTGCACATGAGATAAAAGGGAGCAGCAAAGCATGACTTGCACCGTCGATCTGATCACAAGGTCTACCGTCTTTGCGGTGATGATAAAGAGGGATCTGGCCGAAGCCGTCAAGACAAACGTCAAATACGCATCAACGTACCCAGAGATTAGAATCGCAGAGAAGGTGACCACTTCTGTCCATACACCCAAGATGAAGATAATCATTCGGGAGCCAAGTGCTGCAGAAATTGTCAGAAAAAGTGCAAACGAAGGCGATGATCAACGTTTTTCTATTTGCATGATCTGCCCGGTGCCATTTTTCCAACGAGTGGTCATGAGAGCCATTTGAGCATGTCTGTACATGTTTGGGACATTGTTGAACATAAGAATGATGAAAACTCCGAGCTGAAAACTTATCAGACATCCTTTAAGCATAAGGCAGAATACCGCCGCGATCTGCAATGGTGAAGGAATATGACAAAGGGGTTGAACACAATCAATAAGTGTTCCGGAATTCGTACAAGATTCCCTGACATGAAGATTTAGCTCTCTGACATCTAACTTTGAAGGCAAATTCACTGTTTTTGTTGTTGGATGGATGGTAGAGCCAAAAGAAGCTCAAGAGAGAAGATCAACTGCAGAATACTTGAGCTAATCTAGTCATTCAGATCGAGAAAGATAGCATCACTTGCAAGACAACCGAGGCTGTTAACATTGGACCACAAAACAATATGGCTCGGAGCACGTTTGTCTGGCAAGAGAGTAATTCAATAGGACTTATATCGAATTTGAGTTGACCTGCAATGCTGTATGTATGAAGGCTCCATATGCATTTTCAGTCTTTTGACAAGGTCAGTATCCCGTAATGAAACATCCAAATCGAAAACTGATTACCACTGGAAGCCAAAACCTTTCTTCGATTTCATCATCCGCCACTTGTTCGACCTGACGGATAACGTTCACATGACCTGGCACTTTACATTCAATTTTATCACTACACCCACCTTGTCCAATGAATAAGCTTCCATAGATGAATTGTCGTTCACCACACTTGTCCTCCTACGGCCGCCTTTGCTCCACAAAGAATCGGGGAAATGCATTTTTCTTGTATCCATATTGCTGATTCAGAGAAACGTTCACAATTGGTGAATTTGAACAATGCCAGCCATCATACTTGCCAACTGATGCGATTCTGTCCAAGTTAGGAACGCTGAGCCTCTCATCGTCCCATTTCTCAATGCTATTTTGCGAACTCTACAGTTAGGTATCAGCATAGCTTCAATTTAAACAAGTCAAGGGAAACCGGTGTAGCTTGTCTCGAACCTCCGTTCCCATGAAGTATCAGTGAAGTACCATACTGCAAAGGGTTGCATAAATGCTTGCATGTAAATTCTGCAATAAATCAAACTAACGTTTGACAGAGCTTTCGCTATTTCCTCCTGTACAATTTGTCTGAAATGTTTGTCAAATCATGTTTTATCATTAAAGGTCCTGCCTTATGTGCGATTGCAAACTGTTTGATCCTTCCGGTGCTTCATCGGAGCTTTTCTCTCTAATGCGAATTTGAGTCAGAAAACGATTCGCATCTTCTGAAGCAACCTAGGTAAAGGACGCAGCAGGGGATTTCCTATCGGAGCAAGCTTTCTCCTCACTGGCGGCTGAGCGTGTGGTTTTGCAACATCGTGCTCCTCACCTTGTAAATAAAAGCAATCAAAGTTTGCAAGTAATAGGCAGAACAAGATTTCAAGGTAGAAAAAAGGCAGGACAACTTGATCATACCATTTGTCCTATGGACAAAACCTGGAAGATCCATTCTGGGAAGTTCAAGTCACGTTGTAAATTCAATCCAAAGTCAAATTTACCTGTTCACATTATCATCCATCTTCAAGACGGGGACAAGTTGATTAACAGTTATCTTGAATCCATGTTCACGACAAACTATTCAAAAAAAAGTGTCAGAACATGCAAGAGTGATCTAAGTTCATCGAAGATTCATTAAACATGTGTCACAGAAAATCAAGAACAATTCATCTCATCAGGTGAGAAAGCTGTCATGGAATATCATATCTCACAGACTCAAATGAAAATTTGTGATATTCCAAGTAGCACATCTGAGCGGATGATGATTGTGGTTGAGATGGATCAGAAGGGTTTCTCGCTGATTTCGTCACACGCCATTGAATCGGAAGTCATGATGCGATATTTTCCTGTCTTTCTGTTTTACACGTTCATCCTACCTTCCAGTAGCAAACTATCCCTATGCTCAGCAAACTTTCCCTATGCCGAGCAACTTAGTTATGGAAGTGTCAATCGCTGCACGCACTATTCTTCGTCTGAGTCACCTCGAATGGAACTGGTGTTTTGCTGCGCTGTTCTAATGGATAGTATAGGTTCCCATGCAGTCGTCTGTTCTCTCTCCTTCCCTCCCTTCTCCTCTGCCACCCCCTAATCGCCCACTCAAACACGCCATGCTGCGAAATTCCGCCTAACCGACTCAAGAATGAAAAAAAAACAAGTTATCACTCCATCCCCTTCAGTCCAATCTACCCACCCCTTGTACGACCCACCCCATCCCAAAGAACATACCGTATCAAATAAATTACAGTACCCCACCCTCACAGCAGACAGGCGTGCTTTTAGTAACCCGCTACCCACAACTCTCGTTCAAGATTCTTCACCACCCACCCCTTAGTCTTTTCCAAATTCTTTGCATGGGGTGAACACCCCTTTCATAAAATTTCAAAGAACTCTTCCTAAGTCGTTCAGCCTTTACAAGCATACCACCCTACCATTCAAACCCGTCCAGCTCGTCCACGTCCCGTCTTTGTACCCCCACCCCTTTCTGGAATTCCCCTACCCCTGCTCACTAAAAGTTTACCCCTACCAAGATACATGTTGACTAATAACTATCCCTCGTACGGACCCCACCCAACCCTCTTTACTCAAACCCATACTATAATTTTTCACCCTGTGAACCCACCCCTAGCACGGACACCCACCCCTCACGTCCACCCGCCACCCCTCGTTTTCAATCACTTTCAAGCTCTTCGTAGTACCCCGGTCTAATCCCCACTCTGCACGACCAGCCCACCCCTACCACCAGATCGCTATAACTATTTTATAATTAAAATGAACTACGTCCTGAGATATACACACGACAGCTCTGGAGTACCCCTGCCCTTTCAACCCACCCACCCACCCCTGCCGAAGCTGATTGGTACCATTCTATCTCCCATGTCCCTGCCTCACCCCTCCTTTCGTAATGAAATTTCACCCCTACATTCCAGTTGAGTACCACCCACCCTCATCAAGATCAGGGGATTCCACCCCTTACTCCCCCAGATTGCCCCCACCCTGCCCCACCCAAAAATTACTTGGCTCTGGTCTACCATCTTTTCAGGTTTCGCAATACGGTCTACCATCTTTCAGCCCGCAAGGAGGTGCTTGCCATGTCTGCCGGGGAGTGGCAGCGTGCGATGGAGAAAGCCAGGGCCTATGCCGTGTTCTCTCTCGCCAAGTCTAAGACAAGCATCATGTGCACTAGCTCTCCAATCCCCCCTTCTCTCTCCTCCTCTATTCAGGAAACAACATGAACCCTAGCAGGTCCTCAAGTTTGCCCCGATGGTTGGCTCAACGGGGGTCACGCCTTCCTAGTCCCACGACATTTTTACTCTCATCCCCATTCAGCACTCGAATCAGTCTTTCCTCTAAGAGATCATCATCTTTCAACTCGTATTTTCGTTGCTTCTACTCGCACATGGCAGGAACTTCGCCAACGTACCCAGCGCCTTCTTCACAGCAGCGCACGTTCCCTCCCGGGCTTCTCTGGCATAGATGTTACAATCATCTCTGGATCGCTCACCGGAAATTCTCACTGACTGCAAAGCAAAGCGAAGAAAGTCAGGCACGTGAATTTCTTGCAATGCTGAAGTATGAACCACGTGTCGTCGAAGGCATCATTTCCACGGTGAAAAGCTCTGGATCAAACCTGATGGAAACAATCCGTTCGCTTGCTGGCCGATGGGAAGTTGGAGAAGACGGAGGACTTGTGTCGCTGGCAAAAGCTGTTGAAGTTGAAATGGCGACGAAGGACGGAAAGAAACACGTCAAATTCTTCGTTAAGGTGAGATTTGAAACTCCAGCTTGCCGTGTAGCGTTGCTGATGACCTGGGCAGGTGCCGCATGCTTCTTTTGAGTTCGAATGTGAAGGGCTGGAGGGAATGACGCTCAGGGAGATAGCTCAGCATGGAGAAGGGAAAGGAGCGGAACTTCTTGGGGAGTACATCGAGTGTGCATGCAGCGGTGTTATGGCGTGCTCGACTTGCCACGTCATTGTCGATCCAGCATGGATTGAGAAAGTAGGATACCCCGAGGTTGCCGAACAGGTAAATCTTTGACGTGTTCAACTTGTGCTTACAAGGATTGCAGGACATGCTTGATCTTGCGTATGAGCCCTGCGATACCTCGCGGTTGGGCTGTCAGGTTGCGCTACGAGATGAGCTGCAAGGGATGGTTATCTCGATTCCAGAGGCCACTCACAACCTTATGGATCATATTCCCTTCCCTGATAAGTAGAACAAGGCAAAGAAGCCCTGAACACACACACCTGTCTCCTCCAATCCATCTCTTCAAAGATCCACTTTACACTCAACCACTAGAACACGAGACAGAAGGTCTGACTTGCTCAGACTTTGCCGTCATTCTCGACTACACCATCAAACAGTCGCTTCTTCCTTCCTGCATCGGATCAGCGCGCATCTGTCACGGCGCTCGACGTTAACGTCCTTGAATCCTGCTCCTCGCATGAGCCATTCGAGTTCCTGTCAGAGCCGAGCCGTGAGAACACCATTCAAGGTAGCGGAAACAATCAGGGCAACCTCAACACTGAAGAATCGGTACTGTCGCTGACGTGGGCCCAAGTTCGCTTGCAAGCTGATCACCTGTTCATTCACCATCATCATCAGTCCGAGTTCAGCGCGTTCGAGGCTAACCTCGTCGGGGACTCCCCAAAGGAAGGTGGAAGCGAAGAATCTTCCGCCAGGCTTGAGAACGCGGTGTACTTCCTTGAGGCCGTCCTGCACGTATGGCCAGCAGTGGAGCGCCGCTCCTGCCAACCTCATCACCCACGTCGCCTCCACGTGCGCCCTGCGCGCTCACCACTGTGAATTGCATCCAACGATCCATCCACGAAGGGGAGAGACTGGATTCCACGTCACGCATAGTCAACCTTGACACGACCTCCACACTCACCGCAACATCCGCACGGATGATGTCAAAGTCCGGGCAGTTCTCTTCCTTCTTCCTACAGCACCGGGTCAACTCATCTTCCTTGGCGAGAATCAATCCGCACCTCTGGATGACTTCTCCCAGCATGTTCTCGCTGTAGTCCACGGCGATCACCTGCAGCCTCTCACCCATCGCCTTGCGTGCACAGCACAGCACAGCACAGCACAGCACAGCACAGCACAGCACAGCACAGCACAGCATACCTTGGAGTACGCGCGACTCTTGGCCAGCCTTCGGACCATGAGACCGGATCTGACGCACAACACGGTCAGCTATCCACACAGCCATCAGGAGTCATACTCACCCACAGGAGAGATCGACGACGGTCTTGTTTCGTGCTTCTGCTCCTCAATCGTCAGTGTTGTCAACCATCCAACGGCAAGCTCTCATACCCTGAAAGAAATCCATCACCAGCTCGTACTCCTTCTCGATACCAGGAAAGCCGGCAGACGCGAACCCAGCCCTCCAGCCTCTTTCGTACAGCCAAGAGACGACAGGGGTCCTGAAGAGCTCCTGTCTCAAAGGTTGACCGTCCATCTGCGCTCCTGCTCCAGCAAGGAAGGCAGACACCAAGGGGTTGTTTGCGAGCTGCCTGAGAGTTTGAACCGGGGAAGATTCATCCGAGCTGGACGAAGAGGAGGTTGAAACTTTGCGCTTCTTCATGGACTCAGGAGTGAGATCAACATATCCCACCTCCTCGCGCTTGATCGCTGCTCCACAGTTCCTGCATTCCGACTCCTCCAGACTGATCGGAGAGCTGCACTGAGTGCATGCATAGACCCCTGTGCTCTCAGCAACACTCTCAGTCGAAGTTTCTGTCGCCATCATCAAGATAGGAGAGCGGCGAGCAGCAGCCAAGGAAGAGGAGGAAACGAAGCGGCTGCGGTGATTTACGGTGGGCCTGAGAGCAGGGATGGCCAGCGAGCTTGACACCGCCGATGGCGCAAAAGCCATGGACTGTGCTGGTAGAATACAGGATGCAAGCAGCAGATAAGCGTACATCATCGTGCGGCTTGTTGAACGGCAGGAAGGAGACGAAGCGGAGGAGGAGGAGGAGGAGGGCAGGCAGGGAGGAGGGAGGTAGCAGCAACGAGCGGGGGAGCGAAGAAAGATCGGGGGGGGCGAAGGAGATGGCGGCGTCTTAGGCGTGTACATACGTGTAAAACTTTTACTCATTTTTCATGTAGAGAACAGAAGAGACTAGTTAAGAAATAACTGCCCGATGACCTTTGCTATCAGCTTCTCTGAGGAGGACTCGATTGATTCAGTAGTATGCAGGGCCGCCCCGGAGCCGCCGGCTTATCCTCCGAGACACTGAGCGCGAGTGGTGGCGAAGACGCAGTTGATGTTGGGACAGGCAGCCTGAGAGAAAGACAGTCGTGATGAGAAGACTGAGAGAGAGGAAGCAAGGGATACCAGCTCGACCCCTGCGCATGGGTCCACGTACTTGCCGCTACCTGGCGGTGACTCGACGTAATTGAGCACACAAGTATCTACGCAGAAGGGCCGCTCGAGTGCCTGCTTGGTCTTTGCGACGACTCCTGAGGCGGAGCATCAGGGAGGAGGAGGAAGAGAGCACTGGCAACCGATGATGACGTAGTAGCGATACCACGAGAAGTCCACCCTCACCTCATACTGCGATCCTGACTGCACAGCAAGTCAGCTGAGGTCCTCCTCAAGGGGACAAGACGCACCAGCGCAGGCAGGGACTGCCCATAGACGCCGTCGCACATTCCTGGGGAGAGGAGAGCAAAGGGGGGGTGGCGGAGAGGTCGCCAGGACAGAGAGAGGTGTGAGGGGGAGAGGAAAGGATTAAGGAGGAGAACGAACAGGAGAAGAGTGAGAACTTTGTCATTGCAGCACAGCTCGCCTGCTTACCTTCGTTGCATGGCGGGCGCTGGCTGGTGCCGAAGTATGCAGAGCCCTGCGGCCAGGGGTTGCTCAAGTAGGGGGAGGCGTACTCAAGCCAGGCACGGGATGGCGCCTTGGCACCTGGGAGAAGCAGGTAAGGTAGGAAAGATGAAGAGAGCGAGAGCAACCTATCGCTGCCTGGCTGATCTTAGCGTCAATCTTCCTTGCGTAGACGCCAAAGTCGTCGCCTTGAGTTCCTGTCCTCTCGACGTCAGATGCTCCTCTTGCACTGACTAGCCTTGCCTGGAGAGACCATCCTGACCACCAGCACCTGCCCGTTCATCGTCACCCTCTACTGGTCTCCTTACGCGCGTTCACAACCTTGGGAGCATTTTTGTCGGCCGTTGTCTCGGCCACCATGAGTTGGCCCATGAACATGCAGTTGACTGTCGCATCGGGTGATGAGACGAGGAAGACACGCGCAAGAGCTGTACCCGTGTACAGGCTGATGTTCTGCAGGGTCTTGGCTCCGGGATCAAGGCCTTGAATGCTGATGGGACTGATTCGAGCACGATGAGTTCAACAAAGAGGAAAGTGAAACAATCGAAGATGAACACTCTCAATTACCTCCCAAGTTCCGCACTCAAATAATTGGTGGAACTGTATCAAAGTTCAGACTCCTCCTCCTCCTCAGATTGCGAATAACCTTCCCATGGTGTACCGAATGCAGCTGGGGTCGGAACCGTCCTGTGAGTGATGTTGAATGAAACACGCTGACAATCGGGGAGAAAGGATGTACCCAAGAATCGTTCCTCCAGAACTTTGCGAAGACTGAGAGCCCATTAGGGTCAGCACGGCAACGAGAGTGATTTAGATGCTCACTTATGATTCCTGCTGTACAATAGAGAAGAAAGGTAAACAAACTTGCCACGCCGAGGACCTTGGCACGGTAATTGACTGATCGCACGAAACGATATCCAAAAAGCAAGATGGGAGGGAAAAGGAGCCCGACGGCAAACGTAACAAATGCTAGGAGCAAGTCAAGACATTCAAAATTACAAGGAAGCGTTTGTGAGGACCTGGGAAAGTCGAGTGGAGATAAGCGTCATGCTTTTTCTTCTTTTCTACAATGATTACATTGGATTCCCTGCACCATTAGCCTGTCAACATCATCCCTCTAGCACTCTCTCAAGAGCACCCTTCGTTATGCGGAGGTTTGATCGGTTTCAATATCGAACTAGAAGACAGGGAGAGTGAATGTCCTATCCTGAATGGCTGAAACCCTTTGTGAGTATACCAAGAGTAAACCAATATCCTGTTATTACAGTCGCGGACGCCCCGGGGATGTCAGTGACGGAGATAGTAGGTCTTGGAAGGGCTGGAGATGAGGTGCGTGAGGACTTTAAGACGTGGGGAATAGCGCATACTTGGCAGAGGGACAGCCTTCTTGTCTGCAGCGTGGCTCTGACGCAAGGATGTAAGACGTTTGTCAGCAGGCTGTAAACTTACTTCAGCATTCTTGTGAGACTGCTTCTCAGAGACAGGATAGGGTTTGATCATCTCCGAAGGTGATCTGAATCCGAGCGCTGTTGAGTCTCTGAGTCAGCTCTACACCTCAACCTCAAACTGATACTCACAGGGCGCCCCCGCCGCTTCCACAGTCCGAGCCTGGAGGAGTTACAGCAAAGTCATGAAGACACTTTCAGCAATGGGTTTGGAACCTGTGGAGTGTAGGGGATCGCTGTTCCGATGGGCTGATCTTCATAGGAGTAGGCGGTGGTATACGGAGACTTTCCGTTCTGACTGCCTGCAGGAACGTGGTCAACTAAATTTCATGTCAAGGCACCTCTGTGAGACTTCACCTTTGGCCATCTTGTCAAGTGAGTTGCTGAGTCAGCGATCTTGAATCTCCTCCTCTCTTCTTCCTGCTCGCTTCCCTCCTGTTCCTTCTCTTCTCACCTCCCCCTGCGCGCCGTCTGAAGCATGTCGCTTCCCGCAAAAGGCGTCCGACCACCCACCACCCTCTCCTGGGCTCGCAATTGTCATTAGCTGCACCGGTACTTTTGTGTTTAAAAAAAAACGTCAAGAGGCTGAAAGGGGGCAGGAAAGGGAGCTCGCTGTTGACTCGGAGGCAGGCCCAGTAGGATCATCAGTGACACTCAGTGACTGAGGTGACCGTACAGTTAGCCACTTACGTCAGTTCGGTTTCACTTTTCTGTGGCCCGGGGAGCCTGTCCGGCTGACCCGGCGTCACTGACCGGGCAGGAGCCTCCGAGGCTCAGGAAAGGGCCCGGCGCACGGCAGTGGCGGCGTCTCATTCGACAGTCACTCAGCCCGGGCTCGCGGGGAGTCACGATGAAACGGTGCCACTCGGAGTGTGATATGCGAACAGTCTTACTTCTAGTCAATCTCAGAGGACTCATGCCAGGGCTAATCTCAACTGAGATGAGACAGTCGGAGACAAAAGGGAAGTTCTCGACTTAATCAAAACCAATCTCCTTCAGCTGCGCCTCGACCTCCTTGGAGTACTGACTTGCCGTCGTCTGCATCTCGATCCCATACCCCTCCTTCACGCGAGAGTCGCGATAAGCGCTGCTGCTCTCCGGGTCCACCTGGGACGTGTCAGGCCCAACAAACTGATGGCAGGAGTGGGTCGCGCACCTTGACGATGAGATCCTCAGCTTCGTCGTTCTTGGAGGGCTCACGAAGAAACGAACGATAGCTTGATAGGGGTCAGTGACTACCAAGGACCCAACAATAACACGGTACCTCTGAAAGAACTGTTTCAGGTTTTGAATCACTCCTCTATCGTAAGGATTCTTGAACGTCCCATCTTCACGCGTCCAACCCGAGTATCTGAGAGAAAAACAACAAGACAGTATCAGCACGAGCCTCTCTTGACTTCTTCTCTCTACCTGTGCCAGTTGATCAGCTCGTTCGTGGTCACGTTGAGACAAATCTGCCGCGTCCTGCCCCAGGGCATCATCCAAGTGATAGCGGGAGGAGAGGATTCACTCACTGTGAGAAGGACATCAATATAGTAAAGAAGGTGAAGAAGACATAAATCATGAGCAACAGGCTCATGCCCTGCGAAAATTCATTCAGACCCGCGGAATGGACAAGACAGACGCCCACCAGGTCCTTGTGTAAGATAGTCACCATGACTTCTCCCGTCTTGGGACAGGCCACGAGGGATGTTGAGTTTGCTAGAACGCCCTGCTGGCAACGAGTGAGGGATGTGGGGGAACGAGGGATCCTTGACCGGGCAGTGCGCCTGAGCCTCGGCGAAGCTCCTCAACCAGAGATACTGGAAGCAGAAGATGACCCAACACAGCAGGCAGACGGAAACCTGACAGTCACTGTGAGCTGTGCGCTAGTCATGGAAACAACGGGTACCGAGTAGCAGAATCCGACAAAAACTCTACAGGGCAGGTAAAAAACCGAAGGTGAGTCAGAGCAGGACAAGAACAGGAGGCGGTAGGGCAACTCCCCCCATCTCAATCCCTTACCCGATATTCTTCGCCCCGACGACGTTGGAGACCCACGGGCAATCATGATCAAACCTTTCTTAGAGTCATGGGAGACTGAGTCACAGCAGTGAACACCTCGCCACGTAGCAGTTGAAGAAGCGGCTGAACTTGGCTCGCGGGATCTTCGTGGACATTGCGACGAGCAGCACCTGCAGCGCATCAGGACAGGCAAGACTCCACGAGAGCCATCACATCATCCATAGAAACTTCCTCAGCAGCCACCTGCTCTAGTATCTTCTGCGTGTTCACAAGTTCCGTCAACCATTGCGCAGCGAGGAAGTCCAGTCACACGAACCTGCGGTTGAGGAGGAATTGTTCCGGGGTCTCCCTTCCATGACTTGTAGTAGCAATAATACATGATGGGCAAGAAGAGAACGAAGATGAAGTGAAGGGAGAACAATCTCGGCCATAGTGCAGGTAAGAATGTCTACAACATGACGGTGAGGAGAATTTAGAAAAGCACAGTTGAGCTCACGCGAAGGTAGATGATACAAGCAAGGACAATGAAGAACATCGCAATAGCTCCGTGAACTGTGGGTATGGTGTAGAACGTCCGGCCGTGCTCTGCATTTTGAAGCATTTTCTGCCTCCATTTCTTTGGGATGATGGAGATATTACGCAGCAGTCTCGCAGCATTTAATCTGTGCGACGACCCCGCATAGTCCGCGGGTGTCTTTCCCTTGTTGTCTGTCAAAGATATTTCTGCTCCCGCCGCAATCAGCTTCCTGCACATTTCTCCTCCACTCTTCTTGGCAGCCAAGTGCAGTGCTGTACACCCATCGTCGTCCGCATCGTCTATGATTCTTCGGACGGACGAGAACGTTAAGATCCATTCTACAACCAGGTGATGGCGGTGGAAGACGGCCCAGTGCAGCACGTTGTGCTTCTCGTTGTCACAGATGGTGACGTCAGCACCAGCATACATCAGCGCAAGCACCACTAGCACATGACCGTTCTGAGCTGCCCGGATCATTGCAGTGAATTTCCAGTTGTCCTGCACATTCAGGTCTGCTCCTGCATCGATCAGAACTCTAGTAGCGCGCAAGAATCCCTTCAGCCCTGCCCAGTGTAGGGGCGTGTGTCCGTCATTGCCCCTAGCGTTCAGATCCGCTCCTTCCTTGATCAGCCACTTCATGACGTTGACCTTGTCGTTGAGTGCAGCCCAATGTAGAGCTGTGCAACCGATGTTGTCCTTATCGTCTATCCTGAAAGTCTCGTCAGGGTTGACAACACCGCACGTTCTTCCCCCCCACTTGTAGACTATCGGTCTCGGAGGCTGGTTGAGCTTCAGGTTCCATTTTACAGTCCGCACAGCCTCAGAAAGCTTCCTGTCCACCTAGCGACCGCTCAGTGACACTGATATACGACGACAATCACACTGACGTTCTGAATGAATTTGGCCTGGGACACCATTTCTGCGATTTTCCTCGCGTTGACATCTGAATCCGAAACCGCACTAATACTGCAACAAGATGAAATCATTGAGCTACAAGAGTTCATCAACCTGAGGGCAACATTCAAGCCTGATCCCTTTAGCCAAAAACCTCATCAGATTGTTGTTTCAAAAAACAATAAAAGAGTCTACAAATTCCGTTATCCCGACAATGCTGATGTCTTTAGCTTGAATCTGAAAAATCGACATGTTCACAAACATGACAGAACAGTCAGACAAGCTTCTACCAAGGAATTCTGCTCTTGGATCGCTTCCTTGAGAAGAGCTTGCATCTGAAAACCCGCAATGACGCTCGTTTCTTTACATGTCAACACAACAAGTGACCTGTACAGTGAATTCGATCCTTGATATTTCCATCGACAAATCAAGCACAACGGATCCATTCGAGAGGAGTCTCTGTATATTCTCCAAGTTGCCATGAGCAGCACTGAGCGATCATTGAATCAACAAGAATGAAGTTCTTGTACCCGATAGCAAAGCATGCAGCTAAAGGTTGCGTACCTCAGAAATAGATCGCTCTCCACAGATTTCCCCAGCTCCATCTGTCCTCAGTAGTTTGATCGTAGAAACGTGCTTCTTATTCTGACGGGCAGACAGTGAGAAGGGAGAGGAAGTTTGATAAAAGGAATGTAAGCCGACCATGCCGAATTTTTTTATTGCCCCTGCAAACATACCTATTTCCCTCCTCGAAGTCATCGATACCCCTTCGTTCGTCATCCTAGACTCCTAGATCTTCTTACTCCCATCTCCCCATTTGATTTTACTGATGCATCGCGTTCCTATGTCTTTCACCACCTGCTCCTGCTCCTGCTCCTGCTCCTACAAGCCCGCTTCCGCCATCCTAACTTTCTGCAGCTCCTCCCCACCATTGACATCTCTTCGGGTCCTCATGGTTCAATCTTGATCGTGCATTCCATCCTATCCCTGCCCTCCCCCCTTCCCTCCTCGCTCCCTTATGCCATAGATAGAGCCCAGCTCCACGTAACTCGTCGAACAAGAGATCACCTACCCCTGTATTTCAGTAGTGACCCCCTTCTTTCTCACCCAAATACCCACCTTCTTAAGCGGAAGAAAAGTAGGTGAATAACTACCACCCTACCCCTTGTAAGTTAATCAAAGGTACCTGTTGACCCAATTAACGAATCCAGCATGCGGGTCACAATGAAAGATATCTGACTGAGATGAGGATGAAGATGAAGATGAAGACAAGGACGAAGTTGACGACGATGATGTTCAAGGTGAAGATAATGAACAAGATGGATGCAGGTGGAGCAAGTGGATCTGCAAGATGATGGTCGTCAAAGTAGAGCTGTAGAACCAACCCTGTAGGATGGAAATGCTGTACAAGACCTAGAAAGCAAAAAGAAGTAGAAGGAGGAGAACGTTTCAGTTGATCGAGACGAAGGGATCAAGAGCTTTATGTAAAAAGAGGATGGATTAAGTTGTGAAGTCGCATTTTATCATGACAGCACGTAACATGGTTTCAAATTATTTTATCAATTTACGTCTTCACACACATGGTCACTGTTGATACACACGTCTCTACTATTCCAGACCTTCCTCATCCTCGAGAATGTGCCTGATAGTCATCAAAGCTTGAACAGGCTTGCGAACTATCTCAACTGAAACTTTCTTCCCTGTACGGCAGAGATCAACATGAGAAGAGCCATACGGGGAAGAGACTTGGTAGGAGTGGGAAGGAGAAACAAGAGACAAGGGGTCACCTTCTCGCAGGAAGCCGACCATCACAATGGTCCCGTCGCCTCCCAGCAGGTGCTTGGAGATCTGGCTCAGGCCGCTCCTGTAAACTGCAAGAGAAGCGCTCGTCAAGCATGTGGGCATCAGAGGCGAGGAAACAGAGGATCACCGACTGTCCCGTCGACCTCGTAGAGGACGTCGCCAGGCCGAACTTTCCCTGTCTTGTCTGCAGGACCTGGATCACCCGTAAGATGTGGCTGGTTGCCTGTGCAGCTGCTGACCGTTCTCTACTAGGGAGGAGACGTACAGCGCGCCAGTCTTGTCTGCTCTGAAGTTGATACCGACTCCGCAGATTCGGCTCTCTACCATGGACGAGTCAAGACCGTCAGTCATGGCAGCTTGGCCCGTGCCTCACCTGCTGTGACTTCTCGTTCCCCTGTTCTCCTACTGTCACAGCAGGAGAAGATGCTGGCAAAGTCTGGATTCATCCGCGAGTGCTCTGAGCTGGCTCAACTTGCAGCCATCGAGCTGGAGGAAGCCCAGCAACCCTTGATAATCTCTTGTCTTGCTGTCCGGGAGAAGATAACGACCTTATGAATTAGCAACGACCTTGAAACAGACGTTTGTCAACAATCACCATGAACTGTGAAAAAGACGCGAAAATGTGTGCATGATCTCCCTCTCCCTCTCCCCCTCCCTCCCTCCCTCTCTTCCCCTCTCCCTCTCTCCCTCTCTTCCCCTACCCCTCTCTCTCCCTCTTTCTCCCTCCCTCTCCCTCCCTCCCTCTCTTCCCCTCCCCCCCTCCCCCCTCCCTCCCTCCCTCTTAATAA